CATATTTAGTTGAATTATGCAATTTAGCAACTGTTAGGCGAGATAGCTGAAGTTACATGTCATTATGCATACAATGAAATATCATGTCGGATCGAAAAAATTGAAGAAAAAAACGCACAACCCTTCGTACATCATATTACTACTTTGCATTTAAACCTTTCCAAAAAACAGGAGTGTACAGCAGTCGTGCGATATTCGGACAACCTGCCTGTATTGCGTGAGAATGACTGAAAAACTCCTTTCGCTTGCAGCTAACGAATTCGACTAAGTTCTGGAACAAAATCTCACATGGTCGATACACCGATAGCAACTGAAAACTAAGGATGTACCTGCTCATGTTCAGTTCACGTAACAGGAAATCGAACATTTTCATAATTCGTAGCAAAAATCAGCGTGTCTTGAATATATTAGGAAGTGCAGGACAATATAATTCTAAAAAATTCTCTTACAACGTCAATTTTTTCACGATTATCCTGTGAATGGAATTTAAACAAACCTTTGAATGGTGCTTTTTTTATTACATCATATAACAAAAATATACTATTTGCTTATCATGTCTAAAAAGTCTTTTATCGTTTGTTCAATAATTATTTACAACACCAATTTTGTTCAATAAAAAATGGCTGAAGGTGCCCATGCACCCCTTAACGCCTTAGTAGAGGTCGAAATACCATAAGCGTTTTCGGATGAAGGAATGGACACTACAAAACAGAAAACTATAGGTTTAAAAACTTGTGAAATTATAAACTAATGACCTCTGCTGTAGGTAGTAAACGGTCAAGTAGACGGTTTTTGTTTTTAACAAAAGCAATTGCTTCAATAACACAATACTAAACCCCCTTTTTCGATAAATATAAGGGATGGCTTTTCCATGAAGCGTGATACAAGTACATTTTGGGAATAATGGAAATGTGTCACGCACTAAATTAGTACTTTCAACAATCATGTTGCTTTTGTTCATATTTGTATCATAATCATGTTCTTGACATGTAGAAATCTTGAAGTTGAAATGAGGTTCCTTTTCGAACAGTTGCTGTTATTTCGCTCCGTGGGGAAGATTATAATTCACAAGGTGTAATAAACTTACCACGCAATACCGAATTTAAAAAAATTCTAACATTTTTATCAACGTTAAAATATTTCTATGTGTCGAATACTGTAATGCTACAGTTACATAGAGATGTTATTTAAAATAAAATGGCTTCAGCACAACTCTGTCAACAACTATTACAAACATGCGTTAAATATCACAATGTGGAATGTACTTACATAATTTCACAGCTTGAGATCAGCTCGCGATAATGCAGATACACACACCACTCCAGGAAAAAAACGATAACTTGAAATGTCACGGTACGAAATGTTTCAGTATATTTGATTACAATCTCATGGAAATGTCAATGCGCAATTTGCGTTTGCTTTCAACTGTCTTTGAAAGTGTCTAATTGGATAAAACGGTTTCTTGAAATTCCCATTTGGCTACATGCGTGACGAGTGAAATGAATATATTTTCGGTTGTAGTATTAAGGAACATCAAATGCAAGATGTTCCTCGTTTTTCGATGCAACTACTTTCTATTGCAAAAATTTCATTTAAGAAATAATTGCCACCAACTTGTTGCCAACATTTATTCACATTTCAACTTACCTGGTAAAAAAAGGGGTTAGGGATTTCGCACAAAAAAAAAAAAAATGCGCAGAAGTAACGCTCTGTGAGGAGCATGTCCCGCATTCTAGGTGAAGGGATGTCAAAGAAATATTTTCTTGAAGCACAGATTGTGGAGGGGGCATATATTTATTCATACGAGGAGTAATATGCAGGACTCACTCTACGATACCTACTGGCGGCCACTGGCATGCCGTTTGCAATGAGTAGGGGGAATGTCTAAAAATATTAGGTGGTGTGTCACAGAAAAATTCTCCTGTATCTGAAGATATGTGAAAATATAATTTTTTCTAACTAAATATAATTAACTAACTAAAAGTTGTTTTTTGGCGTGTTATTTATTATGTGTGAAACTATGAATAAAAACTCATTATTAATTTGGCATGCAGTTGCCATGCATATTTTTGGTTTGCCAATACAACACATACCTTCTTCCTAGGATCCTGGCTTTCTTGAAATGATAACCTAATCTAATCTTATATTATTATTTTCTGTGTAAATTATTAGCATACACTTCATGTGATTCAAACACACAAAATCAAAAACCTAATGATGAAAATTAAAGGGATTCTTGTAATCGTATTCTCTTGATGTTCTTAAACTTAATACTTAAACTTATAATTATGGCAGAATGATCCAGGTTGTTGATTATTTCCCATTATTGCACAAGATTACTTGTTATTATAATGAAGCCTTACACAACATTGTCTAGCATATACTGCAGGCCAATTTTAGTCTGCTTAAACTTTGCTTGAAATTTATGATATGAAACTATGTGAATTTTTATTTTTCAATAACTATTCAATTTTTAATTGGTACATTTTCTAAGAAAATGTGTTACCTTTCAATACTTTTGAATTTTAATTAAACATTGTTTCACTCTGTTCATTAAGAAAAAAAAACAACATTTTCTTAAGTTAAAATTTTATGATAAAGTTAAAATTGGGTACTAATAAATGAAGCTGCTGATTGAGAAGACAGAGTTGTCATAAAAACTCAAACTCGCTTGCAGTTTTATTTTGCCTGTTATTCTAAAAGATTCATTTCTTGCTTGTTACACACATTGTTAGTTCAAAATTAGTACATTATTTGCAAAGATCAGACTCCAGCATATACTTAAGTTAATTGTTAATTAATTTCAATTAATGAACACATTGAAAGGGCGTAAATATGACCTTTCAACAAATGATGTTGCTGTCACACAGTTGATTATTCTGCAAACACTCATGAAATAAAATTAATTTGAATAAGGTACAGATTTTCAAACTACCCTTTTCCTTTAGGATACATGAAAACTCATTGAGACAGAAACTTCATGTTTCAAATTTGTTTCTGGAGAAAAATTATATACAATACAGAGGGTAATAAACTAGAATGAGATATTTAGTGTTTGCTGATATGTGTTTCAAATATTTAATACCAGAGTATAAATATTGTCCAGAAATCCCCTAACATTATGTGTTCATTTTGGAAAGTGTGCATTGGATGCTGATCATCCATTTTGAAAGTTCACATCCAGCCACTTATTTCAAGACTTAAAATAAATAAATAAATAAAATTAAAAAATAAAATGTGTATAAAATCACAGATGAATAAATTCAAATATATATACAATCATTTTTGGTAAGCTTGTTATTTCATTTATACTATTTACTCTCAATTTTTTTAAATCAGGGGCAGATCCAGTGACAAATTTGGAGAGAGGAAATTAACAATGTTTTGGTCGAATGTGTCATTATAGATTTTGTTAAATGTCGCAGGCTATAATCAGTTCATACTGCGATACAATTTTATTCATTTTAATCATAAACTGAAAATATTTTTGCATGAAAGTTTCATGAAAAGTTAAAATTGATACTTACAGAAAAAATTTAGGGGAGAAAATTTCCCTCCATGTGGTTCCCTGCCTGTTTAAATGCATGTAATATTTTCAATACGTACGAGTATTTTCAATGCAAAAATTGGGCCCTAATTACTAAAACATGTGTTAATTTTTTATATTAAATTTTAAATAAATCAAACAAACAAATTTATTTTGCTTCTAAGAAAGTATGAAATCAAACTCAAGCATCCTTACGCCTTAATTTGAAGAACAAAACCAAATAATATACAAATGTTGTGAGAGCTTCTTGAAGAATGTTCATAGAGGACTACTGATTACCAGGAAGTTGACTCTTTCACTTCCTAACGAGGTATCTGATACGTCACCATTCATTTTACTGCTATGTCCAATGGACATATGTCATATGTTCTTCTACATTTATCTTTTTTGACAGGCTGTGAACATCTCTTAAATGTTCATAAGTACCTAAAAGATGCTTCTTAATATCATTAAGATGGTTGCAGGACAATCGCCAATGTGAGCTCCTACTGGTTGCATGTATTTGCAATTTTTTCTGGAAGCAATTAGATATTTGTTCTAGAGGTAATTGTCAATTATGTTCAGAATGTCTTTCTTTGTAAGTAGTGTTCATGCTGTCAGCAACATACATATACAGATGTTCAGAAGACATACAGATGTCAAATTCACAGTGACTCTCAACAATAGAAATCCAAAAAATTGAATTATGGATCAGAATTGAATTCTTCTGATGAGGGCGACATCTTTCTTCCTGGGCTTTTGACTAGTTTGAGAAATAAAAATGATAGTGGGTAGTTTGATAATGGTGCAAATGATTCTATAGGTGTGTTCTCAAATTCAAGAGTTTTCATTTATTTTAGAGTAGGGTGAAAATAAAGAGAAATCTATATTACCAGTGTTTGAGAAAACTAGTAAAATAAAATTTCATGTAAAATAAAGCCTGAACTAAATTAGGCATTTTTAATTTTTGACCACATTTCTAAAAATAAAGGCAAAAATAAATATAAAATGGAACAATCTTTTTCTGAACTTCGACAAAATATCTTAATTACAGTACCCCAGTATTGTTGCTGGATGAATTTCACGGATTTCCTCTATATTTTGTAAAGATCTGCAAATATAAATCAGTGTCAATATGTAATCAGTTCCAAATTGATGTGTATGATAATTTTTCTTTTACAATGTTTTGAATATTAGCAATATTACCCAGGACACGGAGTTTACCATGGTTCACCAGTAACCCTCAGTGTTAAGCATCCCCACCACACAATACATATATTGAATCTGATTATCTAATTTTTCCTTTAATATATGTTCCATAAATTTTAATTTTTTATGTTCATTTGTTTCACATCCTGTTCAGAGATATCTGAAAAGAAATTGACTTTAGCTGTAGTTCTAAAGATGTTAGGACTTGTGTTCTTAAAACTATTTATCGACTATTTTATACTAAAGAACAAAATGTATTTGTTTCAGACAATCCTCCAAAATGGCACTGGTGATGCTACCATGTGATTTGCCCTGGTGGCCTCAGGTGCAGAGACAGCTCACACAATTGGCCCTGTCGCGTTCTAGCCGTGAACTCATTGAAACAATGGAAAAGATTCACAGCATGTGCAAGTAGGTAGAACATCATCAGTAAATAAGTATATTTTATTTAAATTACCTACCTGAATTCATATCTGACATAAGTATATTTTTGAAACTAAAACAACATACACATAAACAATGAAAATGAAAAGTGGAAAAAAAGAAATGAAATGTTTAAACAATGAAATCTAACCAAAAGTCATTGAAAGTAAATATGTTAAAGAAGATAAATCTTAAGTTAAAATGTAGTTATTTAAGTTACAATGTGATAGCTTTCTGAAATATAGATGTTTCAAAGTTCATAGTTGTCCTCAAAAACTAATTGAAGATCCAGGTAGAACATATGAAAAATCTTAACATTATTATATTAATATCTACACTACTGTATTTGACATGAGACACTTCATTTTAAAATGTTAAACCTTGCTTGATATCTATTAAATTTGCCTTCCAATTTAATTGCCTTCCAATTAAATCATTTGTTATAAGTTGATCTCAGATTTTAGAACAAATACCTATTAGTTTCTTTAGGATTTTGCAAAAAATAATTGCAGATGTTTACGATTCATGAAAAAATAGATCTACTGAAAGCATCTAATAGTGCCTAATATGTCCTAAAATGATGGTTTATGCCTATTTCAATATTTTTTTGCCTATATCTGACTAAAACAAGTATTTCGATAAATTTAATTGGTTTTATTGCTCTTAAATTTGTTTTATTGAAGTGCAAATGCCTTCCCGAATTTCCTGAAATATGTATGTTCCCTGATTGAATACACACTGGAATACGCACTGAAATCTATTACCCAACACATCGAACATACGGAACTCTGCAAGTCAATATAAAGATGATGTTTCACTCCCATCTTCGATCAGCACACATTTCTTAGGTAATTGCACCCATTCCCAGTGCAGCTGCGCTATTGATACATTGAAAATGAAAAGTATGAAAGAATCAATGAAATGAAAAAAATGAAAGTGAATAAAATATGCTTGTTGTCACTCCAATAAATATAAAAATACTTCACTTTCTTGAAAAATAAAAAGTGCCTAATTTAATCCTTTTATGATCAGTTTTAGTTGCCAGAAACATAACTTCTCTTGTATATTGGTTTTTAAATACCTGCTTTAATCATTTTACCTACTTTAACCTACTTTAAGTGCCTAATTTCATAATTTTATTACTTAATTTTGGGGTACCTCAATCATCACTGTTTTGTACCTAGAATTCCGAGGTTTAGTTATAAGAACCCAGTCACTTGCAGGTCAATGAAGAAGAATTTACATGTTCTTGAGGACACTTTGTTATGAAATTGTACAATTGCTGGGTGAGGGAAGTTATTGAAAAATGTAAACCTCCTAAAAATAAAAACAAATGAAAGACAATTTGGTAGAATAGACATTAAGGATCTTAAAAAAAATTTTCATGACAAAACATGATTTCTTATATTTTATATTTGGCTGATTTTTTTTTCTCCTTTGTATTCTGTTTAGTTATATATTATACAACCGATATTGTTTTTTAACATTTGATTGCTACTGACAGGTGAAAAGAGAGGGTTCGTGGTTTGTATATACACGAGAGGAAGTTATAAGTTTTTGTTACAAAATTGTATTAAGAGGGAGAGGGGATAAAAAAAATACCAGTTTTGTTTCCATATTTGTTGAATGACCCCTTGATAAATCTACTGTGGCACTATATCGGCTTTCATCACCGTCTTATTTTCTCTTTGTTTTTTCAACAAATCTTACATTTTTTAATTTATTTTTTAATATGTCATAATATGTTCAATTTTTCAGATAATTTGCTAAATAACTTTCCTTTGCTCAGAAAATGTTTATTTATATAAAACATATTTTGTTTCTTCTCTTTGCACATGACTTGACTTCAGACAAGTTTTTTAATATTTTTACTACCTTATTTATCTTTTTTAAATGTTGCAATAAAAATTAAGTGTCGAATTTTAAGATACAATGACTTGTACTAGTAAACAGATTCATTCATCTCATTCAGTTCTACAAATCTCATCATCTTATATAACTATTATATTAAGTTATTTAATTCAGTTATACATTATGTAAGTTATTATATCTTCTTGTGTAACCAACACACTGTGAACAGAAACACACATAGAAATACACATTACGCATAGAAAGTAGTAAAACCTGACCATTGCTGCATATGCCCCATCGACTTCAATGCAGACTAACCACTGTTTTCTTTACATTAGCCAATCCTTCCAACTGAACCATAGGCACATAGTAGCTAAGCTTGGTCTAAGCAGAAGATTCAAACTACTGCAGATGAATGGCCTAGCGAGGAGCATACTTTAGGGTTCTCAGATAAGTCAACATGTAGCATTCGGTAATTTCAAAACTTCTTTATATGTTTTGTTTAGGAAGCCTACGATTATTGAAGACATATAATTCACAAATTAGTACAATAAAAACAAATTTGAGTTGACCAGAAATGTGCATGTTTAAATAAGGACACTGAACATTAATGGGGTAAACATCTAATTGATTATATGTATGTTGCATGGCTCTTGATTTTAAGTCAATTAAAACAACTATTTTACATTCCCAATGTTTTGGCTCATTTATTCAGCCTTTATTAGGGCTGTAGGTTATAGGCTCAACAATGCAGGTAATGAAGACCAAATAAATGGGCTGACACTTTGGCAATGTAAAATGGTTGTTGTAATGTGTGTGGCAATGTAAATGGTTGTAACTCAACAACCAGAGAATACACATATTATTCCTACAGGTCAAGAATAACTTAATATATCTAACTTCTTGGTGAATTTTTGACAATACAGCATCAGTCTGGACCCTGATGAAGAAGCTCCAGATCCTGCACTCTTTCAAGCTCTTGAGCGCTTCCTAGAAGAAGATCTGACTCCCGAGGAGAGAAGACACTTCCTTGAGAAGACATCACCAGCAATGGTGCAGCGAGCCCTTCAGCTCAAGAGCCTGAAGCCACCAGGTGGTCTGCATTTTAGTCTACAGCAACAAGGTACATCTCCACAGAGGCATATCAACGGTAAAGCAGACATGTCACGTGATATGGGCACTCCTTACAAGGGGAGCTATTATATGCTACACACTAAAACAAATAGCAACAAATATAATTTGAGGTATCCTGTGCTTGTCATGGGTGCCTGAATACCTAGATATGCCTCTGCATCACTCTATTCACTTCTATCTGATTCAGGGGTGGCTTAATGCATCAAATTAAACTATGCATGTGCTTAGGTCCCTGCTGGATTTGGGTCCCTTTATTTTTCTTTAAATAAAAGTTTACATTAATTCATAATCATTTAAAAATAATATAATTATTTTTTTGAATTACAAGGTTCAGTTTATTGTCATATTAATGTTAATGAAACATGGTTAATATTTCAGTACAGTTATGAGGCCCCCATAGTGTGCTCATGCTAAAGACCCCTCAAAATATTAATCCAGCTTTGATCTAAATGCATTCCTGGTGAATAAATGAATAATGATTTGTGTTCATTTGTATATACATATACCAATACTATAATGAAATGAAATATTATCAGCCTTCTGGTAAAAAATAACAATTTCTAGAGATTAATTCAATGAATATATTGAAAGTTCAATTTTTTATTGTCTTATCTGCTACTATATATACTATTTAAAAGATTAGGACTATTGCATTGTAAATACCAAAAAGGAAAAGATTGATTAAATTCCTTTTAGTAATAGAAGTCCTTCAGAGGATAGTTATCCAAGAACTGGACAGTGGTTCATAAAGCTTCATTAGGAAGTAAAATGCAATATCACTATATTCTCATAATTTGGTCTGTATCCAAATGACTCAAAATACTACAAACTATTAATTTTCAATAAAAAAATTTAATTTATCCTTTGCAACAAAGGAATTTTTTTTTCATTACCCTTTTTTAAGCTATAATTATCTTTTCAAATTAATGTTATTATTTTTTAATCTCAAATGAATTATATATTGTAATTTTTTGCCTAAAAATAGATCATGTTCCAGGGTGCGCTGATGTTGGAATGTGCCAAAACTAGTATCATTACTGCTTTTTGGGAGCTTTAATACAAATCAAATGTTCCAATACTAGAAAATTTAAAACTGTTCCATGGGTTATGTTAAAAAATTGCAATATTATTTCTTGAATTGAATGGTATTAACTTAACAGTTGAATGTAAGTCCTTTGGAGAGTTGGTATTTCTGGCACCAGGCAACAACTGTTTCATTTGGTTTATTGTACAAGTGTAATAGTCAGAAAATAAGAGTGATTTTTGGGTAAATTAACAAAGGTAAACAAAGAAAAACTAACATACTTCGTAAAAAATTATTAAACTAAAAAATTTAAAAAGGTGCTTGACTCAATGCTTTGTAATTTATAAGTATTACATATTAAGATGTGTTGTTCTATTCAAAATTAATCATGCTGATCACTGAACCATGTTTCAGCGGACAAGGTGCAACTTGAAAGGAGTTTTGTGGCTTCCCTCTTGGCTCATTCTTTCTTTTCAACTTTTCCAAAAAGGACTCCAAAGACTCATCCTACGCTTCAAGACTTCAACTTTTCTGACTTCTTCCGGCATTTAGACACGTAAGTAGAAATTGGAGTTTTTGTAATATAATTGGAAATGTATTATTACAAGAAAAGAAGAAGCTAAAAACATTTCTTTTGTATTAAAGGCAATGTCAGAAAGCAAAACTGCGAAGCATCCTACAGTATTTTGATCATTTGGAAAATGAAGGGCTTCCTGAACAGAAAGTGATATTTTCAAGACAGGTAATCAAATTAGTAAAAATTGATGTTTGTCCTTAGTTTAATGAATCCAAGAGCAATATATATTTAACTATGTATCCTCATTCTTTTGAACTTAAGGAAGTCTTTGCAGACTTAAAAATCAATCGTAACATCATAACATCCTGCATTTTTTTAGCAATTTACTTTCACAAACTATTATTTATATTACACTTGCATCCTCCATCTATTTAGATTTCCTTTGCCTTTGTAGATTCTCAGAGGTTGGATTCAGAACCTAATATGTAGGCATATATGTTGATTTATTTCTCATAAGGTTTATTCCACTGTTAAGATAATTCCTGTTATGACAAATTATCTTGATGTTGATAATGTAGCTCATCTTTAGTTAACAGTTTTTTAAACCTACTATCTAAAAAGACTGGAATTAAATCGTAAAATATTATCTTATTATTTTAAATTTTTATGGTAGAAGGGCAACTTTTATTGCAGGTTATGTCCAGTAAGGACTGGCTCACAATTGAAGATTGGCTGGAGTGTGGCCTTCCTCTTGTACCTCTTCTTGTCAGGCATGAAGGACGGTTGGATCGAGCTGAACCAGACTCTCTACATGTCTGCTTTAGCTCAAGTCGAGTTGGAGGTGATGTTCTTTCAGATGGATTTACTCAGGTGTGTCACACTTGCAGAAATTTGCTATGAAGATCATTAATATATATCATATACAGTGAAAATTTGATTAATTAAATATTAGGATTCAGTTTTGTTTCAAGAACTATCTTCTCTCATCAGGAATGCCTACAATTCTGTACCCAACCAGAACTTCTAACTATGTTGTCATGTGTAGAAGCTCTTGAAGACAATGAAGTACTTGCCATAGATGGGGTGATGCAAGTGGCTAGAATATCAGGGCCTCGGCATCGAGCATCTATGGACCCTCTTGCCAAGCCTCCTCTTGTAAGTCTGCCCACATTCACACAAGTATTATCATTGTCCACTGATCAGAAGTCCCTTTAGTATGATAATTGTTCACAATTATATAGCATTTCCAAATATGACCATATGAATCAAGAACTTTTTGAATTTAATGTATATTGTGTACTATACGGAAAGCTGAAGAAAAAACTTAACTTAAATTGAAGTAATTAAAATAAAGTATTGAAAATATTTTTATTTTGAGTTTATTAAAATCTTTCACAGTATATTAGATTCCTTAGTCTGATCAATTTGCGTCTGAAAAGATTTTAGATTTTCAAAATATGTGGCATTATATTTACTTATAATTTTGCTTACACTTTGGTTCGTTTCTTAAATGTGCATAAGCCATTTTTAAGGGTGACTTTTGATCTTGAACTTACAGTTGAGTGTGTGCTGCATGGATGCAGAAATTTATACTACGTTACCTATTAGCCAGTTGGAAGAAGATAATGTGTTGAGGGAGCTCAACAAAGCTCTCCTGGGCTTTCGACAGAAGTGCAATCCCAGTACTCCAACACTTGACTTGTCACCAAACGCCCCACCGACTTCCACTGCCTCTAGCAACACCACCACCAGTGGTACATCAACTCTAGGCCAGCAGCAGAGCAAGCGACTCAGCCCGATAGGAGAGTCTTTCAGTTCGACTCCACCTGAGAAGGTGAGAATTTATTTCATGTGCATTGCATGTACAATATACTGTAATGTCACCACATGGTAGTCAGACCTTTGAACGGCTAGTGGATGTTGGAGGCTGACTGTCACCAGGGAATGATCAAAGGCGGTGCGTGACAAGGGCCAACTAAAGAGGGAGTTGTGACCCCCATGACGCAGGGTGTCTAGCGCAGTGGATTGGGACCCCCTGGGAGCAGGCAGGTGTGGGCAGAGCGCCCACCCACACCCTCAGGGAGGCTGGGGGTGGGGGTCATGTGACCGCCAAAACAAAGGAGCAGAGTTGCAGGAGGAAGGGATTTAGCTTTGCGTGACGTGTGCGGACAAGACTGCTCGCCCAGAAGGCAGAAAGGTATTCCGCGAGTGATTAGCACTGGTGTTTGGGCACCAGGGCAGTAGAGCGTCTGTGTGGGGGATGCACTTCCCAAGGGACAGGGAGCAGTGTGCATGGGAATCATGAAGGTAGCTTGGGAATATAACGAGAGTGTGCATAGTGCCAAGAGCTGTGCATAGTGTAAATCTTGTAAATAAACAGATTTGAAAATAGAGTTTGTGTATGTGTTGTCATTTTACTACTATGATGCCACAATATAGGGGAATAAAGACTGATGTGTCCTTATAAAAATATAAATACATATTTTATTGGAAGATGATCATTTCTTTCATTAATAAACTTTATTTAATTGTTCTGAAAACAATATTTACATGTTCCTAATCCATTATTGAATTAATTTTGTAGTTTTACATGCATTTACTTCATGGATGAACTTTGAAGGATTTCAAAAGCATGTCCAAAACAAAATTTAATTGTGCACGAAGAGTCTGAGAAAACTTCTACTACAGAAGAGACCATTTCTCAAGTGGTGAACATTCTTCTGAACAATATTTACTTGTACCCCAGGTTGCCGAGACTAATGGAAATAGAAAACTATTACGGGAGAGTTTGTGCCATTCTGTAGCAACACTAATTCTGCATAGTTTCAATTGGACTACTGACTTTCAATCCCTTGAATTCTCATCTGATTTGTAATTTTTTTTAAATTTCTTGTTTGTCAGCAATATTTAAACCATTACGTAATGTTATATTGTGTATGCAAATATTGGCTTTTAAAATGAATGGTATTTTACAGAAGAGTCATAAAAATACTATCAAATAATTGTTTTGTGCCTTTTAATTTGTGTTGATACACCACTACATTTCTTACCAAATAAGTGCTTATTCTAATTTGTTTCTTTCTCTTTAAAGAGTACTTAACTTATTTTTGTTGAAAGGGCACCCAGCCAATTTTGCAGGTGCAACTGCAAAATATCAGCAATTCATATTGGATATTAAACTTCATAGCATAATACTGTCCAGGTGTCTCCACAAGCGGGCACCGTCCCCGCTGGGACGAAAATGAAACTCGAAGCTCCCGACTGGGTCTCGCAGCATGAGTACGAGGGAAGGCCCTGCGAACGAGAGTGTGAATAGAATAGGGAACGAATGCGAAAGGAAAGATAGTGATTTTTTTGTCGAGTTACTGCTGCGGCATTCTCGTGGTATTGTTCGGAGAAACATCGTAAAATGACCGAGCAGCCCGCGGCGAGAATTCTCTTCCAGGCAGTGGTTGAACGCGCCCCAGCTGTGAAGGTTATGTCGGAAATCCGCCACGGTTTGGGTTTCAAGTCTTTGTGACCTCCAGATTACCGATACTGCTGAGGCAACGGGATGACCGCTGAGGTATGTCTGTAAATGATAGACAGGTGAAGTGCATTCACTGATATATTAGTGTTTCCTGCTGCGTTTACTGCTAAATGTCGTAAGTGTAGTATACGTGTTTATCACGGGATGAATCTGGCGGTGATCTTCCCCCGCTGGATGTCGTGACCCGGCTCCGGTCTTACGGGGTATCTTCCACCGGGCGGGGCATCGACCCTGTGAGCTCTAAGCTCTAAGATCCCGACCGGTCTCCCGGTATGTGCGGTAGTGTACTGCATGTAAGTAAGGATGAGGATAGGACAAGGAAGAGAAAGGAAAGACCGCCCGCCGTCCGTGGCCCGTTTATTAGGGTACTGCTCAACCATTCGCGTGTTGTTGATCGGAGAAGCAGCCACCCCGCAGGCCCTGAGTGCAGCGTGCCCGCAGGCGCCGCCGTCGTCGTCGGGGCCGGCAGCCGCCGGGGCACGCAAGGACCTGCTGCAGCCGCCGGCGCCGGTCGCGGCCGTGGCCGTGGGCGTGCCCACGCTAGGGCCCGGCGGGCGGCGCGGCCGCTTCATCGTGTTGGGCTCCTCGGGCGAGTGCCTGCCCGTCAGCCGCGCAGCCTGCTCGCTCTACTCCAGCTGCCAGTCCGAATCCGACGAGGAGTTCCACAGCGCGCGCACCAGCCTCGAGCATGACGACAGCGGTACGCGCTTGCTTACTTACTTAAAGAAATTCCTATCATAGTTGGGAATGATTTCTGGTTTCCTCTGTAAGTTTTGTTTATTTTGATAGGCAATGAAACATGAAGAATTTTACCATTAAAAAGGGGTCTTTGTCATAAAATCATAATATTGATAGTGAAACGTTTCGGTCAATTGGTTGGAGGTCATCTTCAGATTATACATATTAAGCAAATAAATAACAAAGCATTATAACGTTTTGACAATAAACTCTATATGTAATTCGATAAACTGTAAAATTCTGTGTGTTTAATTACCTGTCAACATACTTTTTTTCTTAGTTTTTACACACAAAATAAAATATTGTTTTAATTTGAATATTGAAGATAACAGTTTATTTTCACACACATTTTTATACATATGATTAATAATTTGATATCAATAAGGTGCTGTTTATTTGGTAAAGCTTAGAACCCCTTAAGATTTCAATCCCGCCTTGGCGGTACGCCGAAGCCCTCTCGCGGCTCATTTACACGTGTCCTTTCTCTGACCACGCTCTCTCAACAGCGAATCACCTCCAACACAATATTATGACAGGTTGGAGCTTGCGAATTCATTGGCAACTCGTTCTTTTACCATCAGTAATCTATCTTTGTTTGCCCGAACCAATGCTTTCCATTCATAAAAAGCATTCCCTAAAATCAGAATATCAGTTTCCAATTCGCAGGACATTGAGTTTGGCTAAGGAGGTCGGGGAATGTCAATTTGGGAGAAAATGGGAGAGGCTGAACGGTTCTGGTGCGATTGTTCATCATGGACTGACAGTCCTTTTCCCGCAAACTCTTTTTTCGGTATCAAAGACCCACAAAACTTGGATCTTGACTATACATCGCATTAGAAGAGGTCATTTACAAGATGTAGACGCATGATTTATCCATTTTTTTCGATATCGAGGTCACGTAGTACGAGTTTTTCTATAAAAAATTTCCCATTTCTTCTGCAGCTGTACAATACGTTCGCTTTACTATTTAAGCACATAATAGGCAAGAAAGTAAAAAACGTTTCGCGCCTCGTTGCAGAGAGCGAGGAGGCGGGCGCGCGGCGCTACAGCGCGCAGCTGGACACGCCCGAGCGGCGCTCCACGTTCGCGGCGCGGCTGCGCGACGCGCTGTGCCGCGGGACGGCCGCCGCCGACGACGACGACCTCAGCGACGCCAGCGACGACTCCAGCAGCTACGCCGTCGGCATCACGGTTGCCGGCGCCGGCCTGCAGGACGGCGACATCCGGTGGGCGCCTCCTTCCACTCCGCAATGCGCTCGCACAGGCCTAACGCCTAAGACGTGAACTTAAAAGCTTGCAAGGTTCAAGCTTATGTTTGAACCAATCACAGGACGTTCATTCAAAATAGAGAATCGAAATAGGCTCGAAGTCGATAGACGAAGTAACGCCATATGAATACTGTCGATAACTAGAAATCGTTTCTCACATCCAACCAATAGTAAATTAGAATGTCTCACAGCCAATAGAAACTCTTATTTTGATTACGTTTATGTGAGACATTGTGAATACTTCAGTCTATCACTTATGTTAATGTTTACGTCTATGCGTTGTGCTTATGTTTGCGTTTGCATTGAGAATGGGCCTGTAGCACGGTCAGGTCGTCGGCGCCGACGTACAACCCCCAGATGCACTCGGCCTCTCGGACACGGTTTTCCGGTTCTTTGCCTGTCTCACGGCTGTAATATTGATAGTTAATGTTAGTTTTGGAGACCTCTCGTCTGTATCTACCAAGAGTACACACCTTGTAAGATCGTATAAAGATTTTTTTCTTCTTTTTTTATTTATTTATTTTCAGAAAGCAAACATTGTCGCTCCCTAGGTAAAAGCTCTCTTACAAACTTTCAAACTTGTTTTTCTCGAAATTAAGAATTCTGGACGTGTGTACGAAGTCATCGATATATCAGACAGAAAGGTCGTAAGATCAGCTATAGTTGTCGTCTGCACGTACAATGTGCGAAATATAAAATATAAGACAAGTGAGCAGCTCATTCAAAGGGAAACGAATTTCCAAATTCATTTAATCCTCTATTTCCATGTGATCTGTAAATGCAATTCAAATTCTGAAACCAATGTACCAAAGAAGTGCCGAAAAGTAAAAAAGGCGATGTTTGGAACCGTGGGCCTAGAATCAGGAGAGAATAGTCATTTAAAAAATTCAGCATTCGTAAGCTCATTTCGAAATTGTAGTGTACATTACGAGCAGTCGGTGGTCTGATTTCAAGTGGTAGTTTTGTAAAAGTATTCTGAGATCCTTTTGTCCATTTTCGCGTTCGCTCGGGCCATTTAATCACTATTACCTCGGACAGTGAATGAACGCAATTTAAGAATAATTTGAAGTGTTCTCTCCCGACTCTAGTCCTTGTGGTTGAAACAATCGAGCCGGCACTCGAACGAATTCGGATTCTCCTAAATACCCTTGAAGTTTCGTCGCTCTATTTCTTGCCCGGGCTCACGTTGTACGCAAAGCGTTGGATTGTAAGGATCGACGCCCGAATGCGCGCGCGTGTGTGTGTGATGGGCAGGGTGCGGCGCGGCGGGTCCCGCGGCTTCATGCTGCAGGAGGACTCGACGGATGCGCACCTGGAGCGCGAGAGGCGGCGCGCGCAGCGCCGGTCGGGCGCGCGCGGCACCCGCGGCGCCTCCTCCTGCTACAGCTTCAGCACCGAGTGCAGCTCAGGTGAGGCAGACACTGCTCCTAGGCTTCCTGGCCCGACGCTTGCAACATAGCCCTGCCCTACTACCGCACGCGTCGGGGATTTGGAGCCCCGGCCGAGGGGGTGCCCCGCTGGCGCAGATACTGCAGGGGATGGCAGGGGCGCAGGTTCTAGCAGGGGAGGACTTCCCGCGATGTGGCACGCGCTACACTTATTATAGTAGTTAACGGGCTCGGAAACGCCAATTAATCAATCAATCAATTGAAATATCAGAAAGAATTTCCGGTTGCATCCAGCCTCAATTGAATCGAGTTATTTAGAAAGTGACCAACCAATAAAAATGTAAATATTAAGCAGTTGCGCTCTCTGGCCAGCTGAACTTCACTTCTCTGATTATCACAATGCATTCTAGAGATATTCGCGTTGTGCTGCTTTCTGAAAGCAGAAAATCTAAACTGTTCTTACATTATTTGACCGCTCATACGTTCTTAAAGTGCAGGAAATGACCAGTGATACTATTTGAAATATTTCCTCAAATTTACCACAGTTGCTGTCCCACTTGTTCTCAGTTTTTCCGCCAAATATTCCCTCAAATCGTCCTCACATGTTCCCGGTGTTGTAAATATGTAAATTTAAAAAAATGAATTTAAGTTTTATTACAAAATAATTTATAAACGTGTCGACGGCATATTGTGCAGTGCCTCCCCTGACAGATGAAACAGAAAGTTCTGAGTAGCTAGTGTATCCAGAAGAGTGACAACCCAAAGCAATGTAATAGACGCGCTTCAAAGAATTGTTTTTGCAAAAAATTGCAGTATCCACGAAAAACAAAAATGTTTAGACATTGATTTGAACAATGAAATATGTAATAAGGCGTATGTCCAAAAGGCCTCAATTTATTGATTACGTTATAGAAAACAGAAATTATGTTTGTCGTGATATAAAAACATGGTTTTAAGGTTCTAAGACCAATTATTTCCGAGATTTGCACTATGGCAAATTGTGTTGCGACGTAACGTGCTTTGTGGGTTGCATGTGTGTCTGATAATCCATAAACATAATCTGCTAACTTCTAAGTGTTTCGTTTCAAATCTGTTTGATGGACTCCTGGAAGGTAATTCCCTCTCTAACAGCAATACACTTTATAAAAGGGAAGAGTTAGTCATATTTTCTAAGTGTATTTTACTACAAAGAGAGAATTGCAAATTTGAACCTACCAAGATTTTATATTCAATATCTTAACCAAATAGAGAACCATACATATCTTCAGTATTTTTGAAAATTCAAAAGTTTGAATGAAAATTTCTTTCTGACATTGAATTCAGTGTAGTGTGCCCTATTGCTACAAAAAAAATAAAGAAAAAACGAAAATATTTCCCCAGGCTGAAATTTGAACAAGAGCGCTAAGATATCCGAGACAGAAGCCATACGCCAGCTCTATCAAAACTGGTACAAAACCAGTGCATTTAAAACGCTATAATGAATTCTTACTCATACGGCCATTCAATCCTACAATGTTTCGAAATAGCCTTCGGGAGAGGTGGCCTAGAACATTAACCGATGTCACTGCAGTGCCTCTGACCGGGTAGTCCTGGGGTTTGGGTCTCGACGGTGACAGAATTTTCGACACTAGTCAGATAGCTAGGTCGAGTTTTGTCGCTGTGTGGATGAGAATTCTAGCGGCCGGTTGCTCTGACCGGAAGTTTTCCGTGGTTTGTCCGATCCACACCAGATGACTGCCGGAGCAGTACCGAAACAAACTGGCCACAAACCGTGGCGATCTTTCCTACCCATTTCTTGTCCTATCATCAGTACTTACACACACTTACACTCGCGTGTACTACACTACCAAACATGTTGGGGGACCGGTTAGAGCTTGTCCCGGCGGAGCCACGCTGGTGGGAGACACCTAGACACCTGGTAAAACCCCATTAGCGGACGGTACGTCGGGCCCACCGCCACGTTCCGGAGCGAAAAAACCTTAGCAGTTGACCGCGCCCGGACTGTTTGCGCCGCAGAACTGCGAGAGCTGTGCGACACCAGCTACACCGGTGGCTGGGCGAGACGAGCGCGGAGGGCCGGACGGCGCGGAGCGCGGAGCTGGACGCGGCGCGACATCGCCCGTGGTGCGCTCGCCAGCAGCCTTCTCAAGCGCACGCTCAGCGACTCGTTCGCCGGCGCGGCTGTTGCCGAGGGCGCGGCGGGCGCGGGCGGTGCGACCTGGGACGAGCCGGCGCGGGGCGCGCACCGCATCGCCGCCGTCGCGCGCTCGCTCTCGCTCGAGCTGGCGCGCCACAACCACCGCCTCGCCGCGCAGCTGGTCAGTGCCCTGCAACACTTCACCACTTCTCACGTTCTTATAAGAACAAACAAATGTTTTCGCAATTAGTCTATAATGTTATGCTTTATTGCATGAGTACATCTTTTGAAAACAAGCGACGTTGGGAGCGAGTTTTCACATTTCTACGAATGCAATACAGCAACATTACAAACGAGTATAATGCACTATTTTTTGTATAACAGCATTACAAATTTATATGATAATCAAACTTAATTTTGCGAAACAACTTTCTTGTGACGTCTCGGGTATTTGACATCTGTGCGAGAAAACGGTGACCGGCTGTTCCGTTTGTTTGTTTTTGTTTTTTCCTCCCCGCGATTGGCTGATGATGCAATCATTCGTGCCGTAAAATACTAATAAGTCATCATTTGTGCCGTAAAAGATCCGATTATGAACGCTATAATGCCAGTGCACAAAAAATACGTTTATTTTTTGGAATTGAAGTACTTATCCGGCGTCTTTCGCCACAATCATTTGTTTCGATTATAGGTGTGCACAGCCTCAAGCGAGAGGGGGGACCCTTTTCTTTTAAACCTAAGTATTTATATGTTATATTTTTCTAATAAATAAGTAAAATGACTGCAAAGAGAATGTAACTTTAAATTTAATGATACAATTAATTTTTACTGAACCTTTTCCAGGGTTGCCTGACGGTTCAGAGTACTTCTTTCCCAAGTATCGTGTATTATATATCCAAGATATTAGCTTAAAAATAGGAAACTTTTGTCACGACTTTGTCATATTTACGGAAATAAGCATGTTTTCGCTATTTTTCGGGTGTTCGTGGATTGTTCCCGAGTGACGTCAACCATCACGTGACAAAAATCAGTACTGGCGCAGCGATCTTCCGACGTAAATCGGAAATTGGAGCTGTCGGAAACGCGACAGGGGGGCGAGAGCCTGATTACTCGTTGCTCGTCCACGGCAGGTGTCGCTGCTGGGCACGGCGGGCCGCAAGGGCAGCGCGGCGCCGGGGCTGAGGGCCGTGGCTTCGGGCAACTGGGGCTGCGGCTCCCGCGGCGCGGGCGACCCGCAGCTCAAGCTCATCGTGCAGTGCTGGCGGCCAGCGTTGGGCCGTGCGCGCCAGCCCTCGCCCTACTACATGCCTGCCGGCACACAGCCGCCTTGCTCCAAAGGTGAGACCTAATCATAGATCTTTTGAAAAATTAAAACACATTATTATTATAATATTGTGTTATATAAGACACTATTCAATGTCATTTTTTATAATTATATAATTCGCACATAAAAAATATTTAAATCAATTTTGCCAAATAAAGGAATGTATTTACCTAAAAAAACTACAGTATCGACAGCATATAAGCGACTGACAGTTCTCTCGCCACGTGACCTGCTATGAAGCAATCAGCTTGCGAGGATTTGTTTACTTTCTTACAGCCAGGGTTCAGCGTTGTCGCTCGTCTGACTTACACGAAGTCAAGAATGCGATAAGGTTTGGCTTTGGCGAAAGTTATGAACATGATATCAGGACGTGTAGCTGGAGCCGTGGGCGTAGTAATGTCTGACAACAGCGCCTTGATCTGTCAGAGTCGCCGTGGTGGGTGAGGGCATTGTCCCCTAGATCTGCCACTGGATACCTCACTCCGAGTTTTTAAGTACCGCATCCCATGGACTGAGATCAGATGATAAAAAATACGCTGGCTTAAAAAGCTGAATTAAAAGAAGCGTTATAACATACGAATTAGTGTATTTATCGCTATTTTATGGGGCCAAATAATTTCCATTATTTGGTTTATATTTAATCTAAACATAATTTAATTTTAAATAACGTAGGAAACTATTTGGAAAGTGAAATGTTGAACAGTGACCCATTCCCATTGATGTGTGATGGCATGCAATCAATAATACAAAACAGTATTAATATTTTTTATTGAGTCACATACACAATTATCATATTGAATTGACATTCACAATTGTGTCTTGGGTGGAGAGAATGAAGTTACATTTCTGACCAGAAGCAAAACAAGGGGCCATCTTAGCACTTGCTCAAGGGACCAGGGAAACTGGACAGAAAACGTTGGATTGAGATGCTAGGAATTATACTACAATACTTGTTGCAGATGGATTAATATATTATACAGTAAATAATTATTTTTAGAAGGAAAAAAATTAGCATTTCAAGATTTCATGTTTAAAGTAAAAGCAAAATTTACTTTTTATTGTCATTTTACTGCTATTACTTGTAATAATAAAAACAATAATATTAATTATAGTACATGATATAAATTCTGTAACAACTACACAATTTAACAATATTAGTATATTCCTTGTTTAAATCTTGAAATGGTGAAGAGGTGAAGAATACAAGGCAGGTTATGGCCAGTCTGTTTTTTCTATATCAATACCTAGTGCTACTGCAGCACCTAACGCATCAAGCAAATCCAGGAAGAAGGAAATAGAAATTTTGGTCAGGCATTCTCCTTCTACATTGGTCCAACCGCATTTTAACATAGGCAGGACAGGTCAGTTCTTTTTTCTCTGCTTCAACTTTAAACCCTGTTTCAAGCTGAAGCTAACTTTGTTAATTGGTATAAACTTTACACTCTAAACTGTACAAAATCAGCAAGTTTTAGTTTCTGTATCATTATTACATCTAGTGTATCCTAAATATAATATCTATTTATTGACATTTATTACAAATATAATCTGTTAACATCTTTTTTATAAATGTAATAAACTTTTACAAAAATATATCCCATGCTATTTGAATGATACTTGCTGAAGTAGATGAAGAGCTAAAAGTTTCTGTATAAAACTGGCCTCTGTGATAACTTACGGGCATTAATGCTGACTGCTGCAGAGCAGGTATAAGAAACTGAAAATTCTGAAAAGAATGGATATTGAGAGTGTCGACTACTTAGATCAGAGGGAGATCAAATGAAATCATGAACACTTTCAATGCTCAACAATAAACTTCAATGACTCAAGGCAGACTCACAACTAGGGATCTGAAGTTCTTTCTGAAATAGATTACAGAATTTAAGCTCTGAAACTTGCAATTTAAAGTAGCATCTAAAATAAGAACTAAAAAGTGAAATTTTAAGTCACCATCATTATGAACAGCAGGATAGTAGATCTGGTGTTTGTTCCAATTAAGACAGTAGATCTAGTGATTATTCCCCCAGATGATCCTCAGCAATCCGTCTTTTCTTGGATCTTCCCATATTTCTTCACTCTTAAAAGTGCTTTCAGAAATCTTTCACCTACATTCTTCACACATGTGAAAGCCAACTCCTTTGGTTCTCTGTAATGACATCCACTATATTTTTTGCTTTGAATTTTTTTTATTTCAGGGTTCTTTGTACCTGTAATTCCTACCAGGTGCCAGAAAAATCTTGTTTGTGTGGCTTCTATTCTTTGGCAGTCTGTGTTTCAGGGTCCATATTTCTGATGGAGATACAAACACACATTCAATAAATTTACCTCTACAAACTCTGAAATAAAATTATTTTCCATGATTTGAATCACAATTTCACCATTTTGGAAATTATGACACTAGAATCATTGTTGTTGCTGTTTGTTTTCTTGACTGGAAATCATTGTGTAAACACAAAATGAACTTTCTACTTGTGAACACTTGTGATTGGTGCATATTTTCATTACAGCAATGAACTAACTGTGACATTCTCTAAAGTTCATTTATCATTAAAAACTGTAAATACATAATTTTTTATACATTTTCTCGATTTACAGAATCCCTGCCCCTCTATTTTAGTCTATAAATACAATAAACCCTCATTAACTGAATTCCGAGGTACTGAAATAATTAGTGTTTGTGTTATCTGATCATTATACACAAGCGAGTCATTTCATGTGGTAAAAAACAAATCAGTGTGTTCCTCATAATATTAGAAATAAATAATTCCAACACAGTTTTGCCTCAGTGTTTCCTGTAGAAAGTATTTTTGTAATTTTTTGATTTCGTCACAGCCTGTATATCACCGCAACATTACACTCTTTTTGAAGACTCCAAGTGCTGTAGATTTGGAAAATCATATGAGAACAGTGAGTGCAATGCTTTTACATGACCTTCATGTGATTTCACTGTCAGTCCACAAACTTTTCTTGTACAATAATTAATGCAGACAGCACTTTATGATTTAAACCTTGAAGAATAACACTGAAATATTTGATGATTCATAATATTATAAGCATTTTTATATGCTCATTTACAAATAACTATTGGAATCATTAATAAAAGTTAAAATTGACGCATTGAATAATGACTCTTTATCACTTTCACACCACTTGACTAATGATTGATGTTGCAAAAGTGATAATAGTGTCATTATGACATCAAAGTTGTTGCTTTAATAACTGTAATAAATTTCCTAAAATATTACAATCTTATGAAATTGATAAAATATTTAATTAATACTTTTAGTCCTTAATGGGTGTAATGGATCCTTCTCACCTTTTTTTTAAGTAAAGTACATTATGTCATGTTAAGATTTTAATATTTAAAATTTTAATATTATTTGTATTGTTTTTTTGTGTTTGTGAAATTAAATTTGAACTTTTGCAAAAGTGAAAATAAATAAATTCATTTTAATTTGGCGGGATCACTGGACTGCAGCCTACTCATTAATTCAGTAAGAAAGTGAATGAAAAGCAAAATGTAATGCTCATTAAAAAAGACAAATGTTGAATGAAAATTGGCTTCCATGCTTTTGAAATCCAGAAATGGGTTTTCTATACTGTAAGTGTAATACTAACAAGTCATAACATTATAATCAAATCACCAGGTCCTTCGTACAAATATTCTTGTCTCAACTTTATTAGTATAGACTTTCTCACAGTTTTTTCTAAGGTCAAACATATACATAACAAATCAATCCTTTGTTCAAAATTTATCTTTTTGCACTTAATATATTGGAACCAATATTTTAACTGTTCTTTAGAGATACTTTCTGTATGCATTCCATGAATACAGAAATATTTCTGTAAAATGTTCAGATTCATCTGCAGGATATTGCCGCGTTAGGAACTAAAAAGTGCTTCCAAACAAAATGATTTCAACATTCTGTGCATAAATTCTAATCCAAAATATTTTCCTTCTCAAATTTTCCATTATTCCTCACCTTACACATTTACATATTCGAAATATGCAAGTTTTACACACAAGGATATTCAAACATTAATTTTCTCCTGTTTTTTTTTTTAAATATATAGTTGGATACCGTGGCTCGGGTGCTTCTTGATCGTCGTTGGACAGTAGGAGAGCTTGTGACTGCTACTCTTCGTCATGCACAGGACACACTGCAGGCTACAGCTGCTGGTAGCACCCCACCTGGCTGTCTCTTTGATGAATTGCTGGGAATGGAGAAACCTTCCGCAGCGCCCACTACCACCCTTTGAGGTACTAGGCTTATCCATTGGACTTTCAGATGGAAATTATCCAAGGAACAAGAGTAACATTTTAAAAACATCTTGCCCTCAATAATCAAAATGCCAAATATGATATGGAACGTTTCAGACTTGAATGATTTGACATTTAAGTTATATGACTCACCAGTCATAAAAGATTCCAATTTTCATACTCTTAAAAAGTCACATTTCATGTGCTTCCAAGGCTTGACAAAACCTGTACAAGTTACTACTATGCAATACCACAAAGACTTACTGCCTTCATCCAGTCTTCCAGTAATGACAATAGAGGCAATGCTCCTCCAGCAGGGAGTCAGTGAGCATTGTTAGATTGGCAAATAAAAGTAGACTGGGTCTTGGCTGTAGAGTGAATTGTGAATACTGTAGATACCTATTGTACAGTGTACTATATTCTGTATTAAAATGTCTAGCTCCCTGCTTTTCTAGAGTATTTTACACAAATATTTGTAGTAATATTATCTAAAGAAATATTTTTGATTGAGTTGCAAGTTCTCCTCAGCAGGTTTAAATTATAAAATAAGCCATTTACGTACAAAATAATGGATTTGATAATGTATTTTTATGCACAGGAAATTATATTCCATAATGTAAAGGCTTATAAGTAATAAAGATCCTGTGAACTATATTATAACGGTTGGTGTTAGAAAGCAGTTCCCTTTCATCTGAACTGGATTCTTTAGTAGGGAGAATAAATGGAAATTGTAACTTCCTACTTAGTACAGTCACAAGTGCAAGTACTAATTTTTAAGTATTCTGTTTTTGTGTTTGTGTACAAATTTTTATCAATCACTTGATGAAAATCAAACAATTATTTTCTAGTCACTTCAAATTTTGTGCAACAATAGTTCTCAATCTTTCAGTTTGTTATAACAAAGAGATAAGTACTGAAAGTTGAGGAATACTGTTTTACAGAATTGCTCATAAAACGAGTTCCTTGTTGGAGTGTTTGGAACTTATTTGTTAAAAAGTAACTTGTTTTCAATGATACAAAGACTGAAATAAAGGACACCATTGTTTTGTAATTCTGTGTATCATTTCCATCAGATGTATCAAGCTCATAGAAAAAAGGTTAGATTAGATTTTTCTTTACCTATGGTTTGTACATAAATGATGAAAATATCTAAAACATGCACAACAAGGATAATGTCCAAACAACAAAAGTATGAATTTTCTGTTGTAATTGATTGCTTAAAGAAAAGCTAAATGTCACAGCAAGCAGCATGCTTTCAACGAAATTTTGACTGACAGCTGAGACAATATGGAGACACAATCTGTGAAAGTTTTGTTTCAGAATCCATACCTTCTCCCAATACAAAACATTCAATATTTTAGTTAAAATTTGAAGCAATACTAAAGACATAATAAATCAAATGAAAATGACAAGATATTAATTACATTATCTTACATCAATTAAATGCTTTATTATGCATCAATAACATAAATATGACCCTCCATACATTTTTATTAAACAAAAATTAAATTATTTTTCTCAATTAAGATCAAGAAGAAATTAAATATAATAAACAATACAATTAACAACTTGATTCACTCTATAAGAATATATGAAATAGAAAGCATAATTTTAGCTTTGAATCTTGAGGATGCAGAATTCACAATATTATCTGTATAATTTAATGTTAAACCCTATTGAACATGCTTTTATTATAAAAATATTACACACTCTTTGTTACGATGAACAAAACAAGTAGCAACAAAATATAATTGAAAAGTTCAACATTTTATTTTATATACTGGTTAGTGTTGACTACATTCTGTGAAATATACAACATGGCTGTGTTAAAGTATTATTAAAAATTCACATTTAATTGATAAATAACTTACTTGGCAAAATATTCTTCAAATAACACAATTCAAGGGAGAATGCAAATATGAAATTGAAATAAAAATATTAATCCTAGAATACCTGGGTTAGGACTAATGTAACTGAAGATTTTCCATACGTCCTACATATACATTGTGCCCTATCAGCTATTCCTCAACTGTGTTAACTTATACACGTATCTGGTGCTGGTTTTAATGTTGGCTAACACCATCTAATATCAAAATAATGTATTCAAAAATAATTTTTAATTGAAGAAACCTCACATAACAATCTATTGTAATGTCTTGCAGGCTCACCTACAATCTATTGTATTCTTTGGTAATAATGATTTCAACTCTGGATTATTTCTTAGAAAATGATAACAGACACTTTAGGCCAAATTCAACCGGATCATATTGGTAGATATTTGGAAAATCTAATACTTGGTCATTTCTGGACACAAAAGAAATCAAAACACATGAAATGTTTTTAGGGAGAAGTTTGTAATGGTGAAAGTGGTTAACATTAACTATATTTGTCCTGAGAATTAATTTGTTCCCTTCTGCCAGATTGCCATACCTTGTTTTCTTCATAAGGAGTTACATGAATCATTAAATTAGAATTTCCATGCCCAATCTTATGATGTTGCCTATTTCACCATTCATTCATGAGAGATCTCATAATCCTAATGTCAACACAATATAACAACAGAGCATAATGAAGTCCATGAGAGAATTGTATTCTGAGGTATGTTTCTATGTTTACTTTTCTTTTATTTATTTTTACTTTTCATTAAAGTATATAGTGAATTTTGTTGATAAAACATTATTTTATTTGATTGAGTGTGTTTCATTTTATTAAAGTAAAGCTAAATTCAATGAAAGGTGTCATCTATCTTTGCTTATTTTGAGTTATGTCATGTTGATCATAGAATTTCTCTTATTAATGCCATGATGCAGCATTCATTTTTTAGTTCTCTAATTATCATTTGGTGGATTAATAATTCTATAAATTGAATGTTAAAACCATTGCGATTCATTATTCAAGCTAACATACTTTTCTGCAATGTGATATTAGGTAGCTAATAAAACTGGAATGATTGCATTAACTTTTACAGGATTTACATTTAAAGGATGACAATCTGTTAATAGATGGAGAACTTTTCTCATTGGACAAAAAGGATGTTAATTGTGCAATTAAGGGGCAGAATTGCAATGAAGTAGAAGAAGTTATGATTCTTTAAGTATGAATTGAAAAAAGCTCATGCATATACCATTCTGTGATTTGCAAAGGTCAATAACCCATTTTACAAATGTTTTTAAACACATTTGGTTTAAAAAATCCACTCCGTCATTGGTTGAAAAACTATACCCTCTGCAGTAATTTAAGAAAACCAAATTCAAGCAATGAGCCAAACAATTTAGGAATCAACAACTAAAAAGAATAACCAATAACAGATGAGAACAGGAGTTTTCAAACTATTCAAACCCCAACCATACAACACAAATATTAAAAGAAATCATCAGTCCAGTAATAGACTTTACCTTAAGCTGACGTAACATCGCTGACACAATTCTGCAGTATTTACACAAATAATTGCGGTGAAGAAAACCTAACTCCTCTAAGCGTGAACATCTTCGACAGACAGTGCAAATTAGGAAATATCAGTATTTTTATACTGCACAGCCCAGAGAATGCCTTTCTTATTTCAATAATTTAACAAACTTAAGTGAAAGCTTATCAAAAGTAAAAGAAAATAAAAAATGAAAATAAGTTAAATGTTTAGTTGTACCAAATGCTATGGGCATTTATTACAGATCAGTAGTATTTTTACAACTTTTTTCCCTTTGCTACAAATAGTTTTTTGCATATAACTCGTTGAGATTTATGACTATAATAGCCATAAAAGGTGTAACAAAGAATGATTAAACAAAAAAATGAACAGAGTATTTTGTAGTTTTAATAACTCTCTTCCAGTATATATTATTTGTAAAAAATATGTTTGAGTAATATTTTTTCAATAACCAAACCTTGAGATCAATCTAATACACATCAACATGGTATAACTATAACAAAAAACATGTCAACATGTCATAATTGAGTGATTTTAATATTAAGTTATTTATGATTCACTTATTTCACATACATTGTGCATCTAGTTATAAAAAGTGCTGAAGAATAAAAACTCTGTTGCAATATCACGTTTTTATGTTTCTCCTGAAATGTTGCAAAAAAGGAGTCATTTATATGCTTCTTAAACGATGAAATACATTGGGTGTTCGAAAACCCACAAAATTACTAATATTTTTTTCCCCTCATAATAATGGAATTTTAATAATCAACTGTGAGAAGTTGATACAATTTAGGACCTTTTTTCAAAAGAAAACCTTGAACATTCAATGAGGAAATAAAGTTTCCAAAGTCACTTACTTGGACACCAGAAAGTTCAGAAACCTCCTTCAACTCCTGAGAAGAAAATACAGACCTATTCTGAATGTCTGCTCGCTTTTGTAAAGCATTAATAAACTTTTTAGCTTGATTTTTGCTGCTCAGTCCTGAACCATTTTGTGATCTCCGAAAATCGAGACTTATTCCATCACTATAAGTATCCACTAAACTGTGTCTCATTACCTCCACAACATCAAGAGCATCATCCACTGTAACGTTTTCTCGCAACTCAACTTTTGCTCGAGCTTCTGTAAGTCTTATAAGAGATTCCAACTGTCGAGTGGTGACAGGAGTGCTGTCCATTGTATGATGCTCTTTCCTAAGTTCTAGGTAAAACTTTTGAATTACTTCAGCTGCTTCACTTGAAAGAATGGGATGGATATATTTTCGAGCATATGCAAGATATTTACGCAACAACTGATGGGGGACAGGATCAATTGCTTCACCCGATCTCAACTTCAATCGTTCTCCAAGCGAGAGCTGTTTCTCATCTGATTCAGAATTTTGGGAATTTCTAGATGTTCCTGATAACTGAGAAAGTGATTGGTTAAGAGCATGTTTCATCCCAGAGTGAAGAGCCATAACATGTTCTGAAAGTAAACTATCCAAGTGTTCGTTGGGTTTGTCGAGAAGAATGAATACCAGATCAAATCTTGAAAGCAGAGCAGGACCTATTCGTAAATTCTCAGAAACAGTTTTTGCTCTGTTGTAATGACCACCTGAAGGATTGGCAGCTGCAAGAATCGATGTACGTGCTGGAAGTGAACACACAACTCCTGCCTTAGCTATGCTAACACTCTGTTGTTCCATAACCTCCAACAATGCTGCATGTTGTGTTGTCATTTTGTCAAATTCATCAATGCAACAACAACCTTGATCAGCTAGAACCAAAGCTCCTGCTTCTAAAGCATAATCTCCTCCAGATTCACGAGTTAAAGTAACTGTTAAACCAGTGGAGGTAGAAGTATTTCCACAAACATACACTCCTCGAGGAGCTACACTTGAGCATGCTTGCAACATCTGAGATTTACCTAATCCAGGATCACCAACAACCAGAATATGTGGATCACAACGACTGTCAGCATGTTTTTGTGAACCTCCAAACAATGTCAACAGTAATCCTGCTTTCACTAGTTCATGCCCATAAATTGTGGGACACAAAGAGTGAACAAGAAGTCTGAAAAGTGATGGCTGGGAACGGATTTCCTTAATTGCACAGAAATCTTTTCCATCTAGTTTAACTCCCATTGCAGAGTTTCTTGAGCTAAGAGAATGGCTTTTACTATTAATAACAGACACTCCTTCTAAATACAACAAAAACATACTAGGAGCCTTCTGTTTTTTAAACTCCTCATTATTACGCACTTTAATCACGCCTATAATAGAAACTACATCTCCTGGTAAGCAACTGTCCAACAAATCTTCGGTCAATTCACACTCAATAGTTCTCGGAACACGACCACCTTCTCTCTGATCATCTGCCACTATTTCTTGCACTCTTACAGACTGCCAATTGACAGTTTGAGTGTAAGGAGATGAATGCAAAGGAAGAAATTGTCGACTCCTACATTTGTCACTTCTGCATTTAGTAGGTGGTGTATATGTCCCTTCTGGTTGTTTTATGCACTGAAGACCATGACATGACATACATTCAAATGCCAGCCATACACACAATAACTTAATATTTCCCACACGAATAATTGTTCCATGAATTGCCACCATTTTATTATAATAATTGGCCTTCAAATTTTTCAGTTGAAGTACAGGTTCATATCCAGTAATTCTTGCTCTTATTATAGGTACATTTACAGCAGGAAGAGGGGCATTATCTTGACTTAACTTTCTTTTCAATTTATTTTCAATTTCCTTCACAGCAACTTGATGCATTGCTAAGCCAAGGTTATTCAATGTATAATCAGGCTTCTCAAACAATTCTTCTTTAAATGTCGGCCAAGATTCATTGAAATCCTCATCAGCTAATAATGACTTCACATCGATTGCAAATGCACGCCGTTCCATAATGTCTGAAGCAGAGTAAGACTTAATATTCTTTCTTATAAATCTTTCAACAGATTGAATTTTTATTACAGTAGAGGAACCTTCTTTATAAGCCTCTTTGGTATGATACAATTTCCATCCACTGTAAGGACATGGTATTGCTTCAAATATATCAGATACTTGTTGCTGGCTACTTCGTGAACAGTTTGGCGTCGACACAATGTTGCCTACATTACTATTATTACTATTACCGGCAAACGTTTTGTTTCCCACTGGTTTGGGTTGTTTGTTGTAAGGTCTCCATCCTCTTCCACGTCCTTTTCCCCTCCAAAAGGTACCGCCTCGATTTCCACGATTGTTAGTGCTCATACTTAAATTTTAAAGGTTTTAAGATAACTGTTTTAAAGCTACAAACATACACAACTAGAAGTCATGTTTCCCTTTAAAAATCTTCCCCAGATCTTCGCGAATTGTAATACCACTTGAGAAACCCGCGCTCGCGCCAACATCACAATACGTCCCAAGCCAAAGAGTATGTATCAGAGACGTCACTCAATGTTAAAAGGGAAAGTCTTATTTGCCCAACTTCCGGTACTGCCATATTGTTCTGTACAATTTCTATTGGGTAAACGGATAGCCAATAGAGAAGAAGTAACCGGCAAAATTGAAATAAACATACTACGCGGGAACTTTAAAATTTCACTCCCACAATTTTTACGCCTAATTTATTAAAAAATTCACAATAATAATTATAAGGATTTTATGGAAGAAAAAGTCAAATTAGGGTTGTAAAGTGTAGTATTTATTAAACATATTGATATTACACAATTTTAATAGAATTAATGATTTTGTATTACACAAGGCAATAAACACTGTATACCAGCTCAAATGCAACTTTACTGGCTTGTAGACATGTCAAATTAATGTGGATACTATGGAATATTACATTGTTACGGATCATTATAGATGAACAGTGCCAACAGTGTTGAGAAGAAACAAATAAAAACGTTACCGTACATTCGCCTAGGTAAAACAGCTATGATATAAGTGCCATTTTATTTTGCGAGTTGGAAAGGTAGCATCACGAGGCCAAAATATCAGATGCCCCAATTCTACCAGCAAAAGAAAATCATTTCCCCATACGTTTTTAAACAGTATTACTGCCTTTCATTTTATTTTAATCCAAGAATATAAATCACTTAACATGTTCACTGCCATATGAGTCATACATGGTTCAAAGAACTTTACACCCAATGTTTTTTAATGTCTGTGAAGCACATGTGAGTCACAAACGTTTACAACTTCTAAGGCAAATATTTTCATGGAACGTAACGTAGCAGCACATATTTTGTATTAGACTTGCTAGGACGGTCACAGAATTTTGAAATACACCTGGACGTGTAGAAAAATACAGGATGGCGCAGGGAAACGGGAAACTTGGAATTAATGTTATTTGCACGAATAAATCCATAAAACAAATAATTCAGTAACGAAAGTGCATGTATTGGGCATGCCATTTATGTTTTTACAATCAAAATGTCCAAAAGTGTCTCTTTACTGTTTAAAGATGACATCGGAAAGATGTGCTCCCATTCGGCGTTCACTCTCTAACAGTTTGTTATGAAAACTGGAATGCGCGATGTAGAAAATTTTAGGAAATTACAATAATTTCTTTTTCAATGTTCTCCTTCAGTTAATGAATTGTGTTCGGTACACCTAGCCTTTAAGATATCCCCCATGGAAGAAGTCGCACACACTAAGATCAGGGGATCTCGCAGGCCATTCAATATCACCGTTACGTGAAATAATGCGTCTTCCAAACAATTGACGAACTGCTGCCATCGATTGTAGAGCAGTGTGTGACGTGGCACCGTCCTGCCTGAACCCACAAGTCTTTCGGCATGAGATTAAGCTCGTGCAGTATCGGTGTAAGAAATGTCGGCGGAGGTGGTGTAAGCAAGCGGACTGTATGTTGAGAGGTGACAGTAATTTAATTTCACCTGAATTCTTCTTCACTCTCCTATAGCTTCTGAAGGACCACCATAGATTGAATCTAATGGACAACTTGTTCTAGCTGGAAGCTATTGAGTGGGGAAATTGTTACCATTAACAGAATGAACACAGAGTAATGTAATTTAAGCTGTATAGTTAATTTGATTTGACGATTACAGGTTGAACATGAGCTTACTATGCTGCATGTAAATATGCCTAAGTGAAATTAATAGTGAAGAAATCAGTTAAGGATTGGCAATTAGTGCATGATAAACATGTGAATAACGGTAGAACGGAATTACATAAATGCAGTGTATGAAGTTTACATAAACGGTCATGTAGTGCTGAAAGAAAATACAGTTTACGTGGTCTGGTAGATCTGGCAGCTGATGGTGTTGCAGGCTGGATGTACAGCGCCTCGTTGCGGTTGCAATACTCGAAGATTACGTCACGCAGCAGGGACAGTAACCTGGTGACACCACGGTTGTGATGACACAATTAAGATTAATAGAAATAGCACGACTTGAATGTTGTTAGTGAAGCAGTTCAAATGATTGCGGTTGCAATACTCGAAAGATTAACAGAAGTGCATGAATAGTTCGTTGCACAGAAGTTACACATGCATGCAGGGTGCATATTGCGAAGATAACAAGAAAATGCAGATTGTTGCTGACACCACACGGACGTGTATTGGTCCGGCATAACTATGAACTGATTGAAGTTAGAACTTATATTCACGCACTGCGATGAATAAGTAATGAGCTGCTGGAGACGCGACGCTCGAAGTGCACAGAGATCTCGAAAGTTAGTGCTTTTGGAGCTCCTCTCCCGTCATCATGAGAGCTCTGGTACCCCCCTTCTTCAGTGACCCCCCCTTATTGACCGAAATCAAATTTTAGTGGAGCGTGGCGGGCGGAGCTTCGGGCAATGACTCGTTATTTTCCGTTGTTTTGCGCCGCGGGCGTAGTATATTCGCGGTCGGAGCGAATGTCCTTATGACCTAGATCGCCGGGGTAGCACGTGCGCGTCAAGATTCGTTAGGTCGTAAACCTTTCCTTCAAGTGGGTGCGATTGCAGGCGATCCACTAGACGCGCGGTTGCGTGGAGGAAAGACCGCCCCCAAATGCTCGGCGAGGGCGGCGCGGCAGACCATGAGATAGATAGATAGAGAGAGAGAGAGAGAGAGAGGGAGAGAGATTGAGAGAAAGAGATAGAGAGAAAGAGAGAGTGAGAGAGATTGAGAGAAAGAGAGAGAGAGAGAGATGTAAAAGCTTTTTGAGGCATTTTGTGTAATTTATTGTGAAATTAAATTCTTACAAATTGTGTAATTTTTATGAAATTTCCATTTTTCGTTGACTGGTCGTGTATATAAATATACAGATTGTTGTTGGATCAAAGATAAATAATGAATATTCTCTTAATAGCAAGTATTACGCATAACCCATTCCTTCGGTATACATTCCTAAATACGTCAACAATTAGTGACTTGTTACACCAATCAAGAATACTTAAATAAGGCAACATTGACGGCTGGCATCTTCAACCTGCATTTTTCTATGCGCTGACTCGGAAAGCGGGCTCTTATCAGTATCGCCCGGATATGTCATGACGGTAGGCTGGACCCTCCAACATGTGGTGTTCTCTTACGCCGAGTAGGTAACCTGCTCCTACATAAATGTTGTTTGGGCTCGGCAACTCCTAGCCGTGCACTTCTACCAGTCTGCATTCAGTGTTGCACCCTTCACATTGCAACTTTTCGTTCCAACAATCTGTCACGAAACAGTAACAGTGAACCTTGTTGGGCATATATTATCATGCGTTCCCTTGTAAAGCCTGTTTTACACGGTCATTTTTGCATCCCTTTTTCATCATTTTTCTGTCCAGTAAATGGATGGAAAAAGGACGTTCGTTTCTGCGCAGTATGTTTGGTGGCGAAATGGATGAGTGTTTTAGCGTCATTTCTGCTCTTTGTACGTAATCATGAAGAAAATATTCCTCCGAACGCCGCATGTAGCGCTGGAAGTTCAAAATTTAACATTTGCATCTGTGGGTAACAAATGAAGTTAGTTAGGTAGGACTGAGCTCGGTATGCGAAAACAATTTAGAATACAGTGCATAATTTATTTCTCTTCATACCCACTTCACATTACAATTCCACAACATCAGAACCTGCTCAGTCAACTACATAAACTGATCCGTAAGTGCGCAGGAGCTCGTAGTCAAATTGGATGAAATCTGTACGAAAATTAAGCTGCGTATTTTCGTACAAATTACATCCAGTCTGGCCTGTATCTTTTCTGTACCGGCGAAAAATGATGAAAAAAATGATCGTGTAAAACAGGCTTTACAGTATATGGATCTGGTATACAGCAACTGTTTTTTTTTCATTACAGAATAATTACCGCGATTAAAAACTATGTAATAGAGAATAACCTGAATTCGCTAGTCCCGTGCGTGGTCTTCAATAACGTAGAACTTATAGAGTCGCACGAGACTGTCCTTTTTTGTTTAATGATGGGAAAAAATGAAATGGCTGTCAAAGTCGGTTTCAGTACAATAGAACCTCCGATTGCGAGCATAATTCATTCTAGAAACGCACTTGTAATACAAAACACCAGTGTATCGAAGTGAATTTTCTCATAAGAAATAATTGAAATGCACATGAACCGTTTAGAATACAAAACTTTTTATTCATATAGAATGATTGAAAATACTCTAGAACTTGTAAGTTGTTAATATACGTTGCTATACTTGTACAGTAAGGGAGACTAAAGAGATTAGAGGAAGAGACGAGTTTTTCTTTAGCTGTGATGAAATCATTCACCTATTGACTCACGGGTTTCTTTTCGTGCCACTTAAACCGAAAACCTATTCAACCGTTGCTTTTGCGTCCTTTCCATGATTGCATGAAAATTAGTATTAATCGAAGCCATACAAACTAAAGGTAGATTAAAACTGTTTGAGAAAATTGCTATGCGCACAATACCACCGTGAAGGAGGAGGCGGTGAAAAACTGGCGTGCGAATAAGCGTCACTCGACAGTTCTGCTTGTATTACAAAGCATCATTCGTTTATCAAGTGAAAATTCCTTCACATTTCTTGTTCGTCTTGTAAAACAATAGCAGATCGAGTTGCTGGCAATTAAGGACTAACAAAACCCTCAGGACTACATTTACAATCGCCAATCTAAACACTGAACTTATTCTTGTCAAGTTAGGTAATTTCTATTAGTGAAGTTCCTCGGATACTTCGGTTCCTCGGTTACTAAAATATTTTTAATGGTAGATATACCCTGCAAATGTTTCCAGTTATAAATGTTTGAGACACGAGCAGCTGCAACCCGCGATGCAGTAATGTATTACATTCACATCCTGGCACGTCATTGATATAAGTATAATATATCAATACGAGAGAATCGGGCAGAGAGTATATATCGGGAATCGGGTTGTTTTATAAAGTGCTATGGCCATAATCACAAATGTAGTTGAACAACGGTTTTAAGCTTTATTTCTTTTGAAATAATATAGGGAATTTCAAATTGTTTCACATTTCACTATCTGATATTTCTTTTTAGACATGAGCTGTCTTCAACTCACTTTTTTTTTGTTCCAGAAGTCGGGGGGGGGGCTATCACGCCCTGGAGATTACTTCAGCCTTTTCCCACCTGTCGCAGAAAGGTAAGAAATCTTACGTTGATTCAACGCTGACGAAATAGCAAAGAACAAACAAACATTTTGAACCATAGAAATGTTAGATCCCGCCTTATCTCGATAACTTTTGGCTCCCGATTCATTCATTATTAATCAGACTACACTTTTCAGATAAATGATATGAATAATTTTCAGAAATAATTCTTTTATTCATGCCTGATCGTTTTGTCAAATTTTGTTTAATTTTTCTTTGTATTCTATGTATTTTGCTACCACTAATAAGAAAGCTTGTAGGCAATGAGGTCATTAAATCTAAATTGATTCCCAGTGTCTTGGTCGCGATTTTCATGTACTGCTTTTCTTTAAAAAAGGTAATAGTAGTTTATATCGGGGAAGAGATTTCAAGAATGTGTTTAGTGGCCTTTTACATGTCTTCAATCGTTCATTGCATTGGGTTAAATCTCGATTCCAATTCTTCGACATTATAATAATATTTTGTTCCTTATCTTCTTTGAAATTTGCGACGTTTCTCGAAAAGGTTATCATTATGTGGCTTTTTGAGCACTGTAGATTAGCCGTTTCTAAATGACTAGATAGTCTTTTTTTATATTACGTTCTGTAATACTAAATTCTCTCTCATTCTTTTGTTTTTGTCTAGTCTCTTTCCGTGTGTCATAATCTATTTTGCTGTGACAGTGATTGATTGTTCATTTGACGCGAAAGGCTTGGCTATTACAAATATATTGTTGGCCTGCGCTACATACTCGTAATATGAGTGCCTTGGTGTCAATACACGAATATATATCCGCATAGATTTTTGTATGTTCAAACTTTCATAGAGATTTCCCTAGTATTATATCCCAACGTACCTTCGTCCTGAAATAGTGCCGCTTAGACCACTGCGAGCGAGCGTTACCTAGCTGCCCCGGGAATCGACCACGGTGATTGCAGACGTGGCACGCTAGTCGCCAGCCGACAGCCCGGTGCTGATGCAAACGGCGGCAGCGACATCAACCACCAGTACAACCCCCCCCCTCTACCACCGCCACCAGCACCCGGCGGGCGCGCTGTAGCGAGACCCCGCGCGCCACGACGCCTTCCAGCAGCAGATCCTGCAGCTGGGCGCCCGGCGCCGCGCCTGCTTCCGCCTCGCGAGCGCGAAGGCCCGATCTTTGCCCGGCCTACTAATCTTGAGGTAAACGAAGCAGCCGAGGGCCGGTTTCACTAAACGCGTTTACGCTTTTGGCTAGTCGCGATAAATATTAAACACGCTATATAATCCCTGTTGCCCGTAGACCTGTTTCACCACGGATTATGTAAAGTCGATAAACTTAACACTCTTTGCTAAAATTGAGACTTTTCGGTGAGCGTTGTGGGGCGGTAAATTTCCCTTGAACATTTTTAATAAAGACAAACATCAAATTATTCTTTGCAAGAAGGTCAAAGACGATATACGAGATTTTGATTCTACTTCTATTGATTTCCTGAAACATAATACCGTAATGTAGACGTGTGAATCATGATAATAAATTTTTGTAAGGTAAAAGTTATGGAAAAGTTTGCATTTACAATAACAAAAATTGTATAAATATTTTATTTTTAATGTTTAAAATAAAAGTAATAGTGCCATATTTTAATTTTGATCTAATGAAAGAGTAAACATGTTTTTTAAGCTGTCATTCGAAAATTGTATTCGTAACTGTATTAGTTCGAAGAAGAAGTTCAAATTCACTTCATATTCGAAAACACATTAAAAGGATTTGATAACCTCAAATATCGTCGTCACATTCTTTAAAATATTCAGTTTTTCAAAACAATTCTTTCATTTTCATCCAAAATCAAATTTTGCTCGAAAATCATTGTCGTTCAACGTAAATAGTTGAGGGTCTTTGATCATTGTTACGCGATAGAAGTGAGACCACAAATACCGAAACGAGAAGAGGAAGCAGATAACTACTTCTTCCCCTTCTCGAGCGTTTAACCGCGCGAGAGTGTAACTTCCAGTAATCGCGTTTTGAATAACTTCGTGAAACTCGCGAGCAAACTAAACGCGATTCATTCTAAGATCAACGACATTAAACACATAATCGAAAGTGGTAAAAACGGACCCTTGGTGTCTCTCCGCAGCTCGCGCACGGTCACTCCTGACTCCTCCGTCGAAAGCGCTCGCGTTCACGATCGGCCGGAGTCGTTTGCGGCGACACCAGCGCGACAAGGACACATCGGATCTTCGGTTGCGGCACACGCATCCGGCTTTACCCAGTCACAACTCTTACTGCAGTGCTAGTTCATTTGGGAGCGTTTTAACCCTAAAATCATTTTCAAGGGTGTTCTCGCACCCGTCCTAAGAGTGGAAAGAAAGCTTTGCTTGAAGTTCTTGTCGAGTCATCTGCTGATAAAGCACCGGATGACCAGTAAAAATTGTGCATTTGTTTGCATCAGGATCATTCTTACGATGAACAGACATTAGTCCAGGAGTGTGGGGAAGGGGAAAGAGGGGAAACGTTCTGGAAGGATTATACTCAAACAAGTTAACATTAATAACAGAGTGAAATTACATTGTTTTTGCCCTTTTTAAGTCCAAAGATGTGAAGGATCTTTTTAAACATGACGATTTTAAGTTCTTAGTGTCTACTAGCTGAGATTGCATATGAGACAAACAGCGAGTACTCCTCATAATTGGTAACTGGTCAAAGAAAATGCGGGATCATATGATACGCTCGTATGCGTTGCAGCGTTTAAAATATATATTGTAATAAACCGTGATTCAGTGACAAGAACGCCACACTTTGCTTTGAACGATGGTGATAAAACCCCAAGTGTTGTTCTGTTCCAAGACCCCTCTGGCATTGATACAATCGATGTGAGGTGAATGTGTAAGTGTTCCTGTGTTTTATATTAAACATAAGTAAATTTCGTTCTAAAAAATTGAAATTTCGCCATTCAGAGAATTAGGATTTAACAAAGAACTGATTTTGTTGTACCAAGATTTGTCCCCATTTCCTACCCTCAACACGATAAGTCCCAGCCTACCAAGTTAAATCTGTAATTTGGACTTAATTCTCCGGTACGCCCACCAACAGACAAAAACGATTCCGATAGAGCAACTAGTAAAAAACTAAATCGAGTAGTTTTCCTTAAGGGCGTCCAGGAAAATTGAACCCTTGAGCTTCTTACAAATGTTCCGGCGGCGGCGGCGACGGTGTCGGTTTCGTGTCTCCGACCTCTCTCTTCCTCCCCCGTTTAACACCACGCGCGCCACCTGTGATCTTCAGCAGTGTTGCGGGTGGCCGGCCCGTGACCTATGAGTGTTGACGAAGGTGCAATGGGAAACAGCGCCCCGGTCTCCGGTCGGTGGCTGGCCCTTCGCGCCCCGCTGTCTTCAGCGCTGACCTGTCCACTCGCCACTGCTCCTGTGTAATCAGAACGGCTTTATTTCAAACCGTCTACGCCGTGTCCCTTAACTGCTCTATTTAAAATTGAACTTCCTTACAAGATTGTACCATACTCTTGATTTCCAGCACATTCCAACGGAGAATGCATCAATGTTGAAACTTAATACTGCTCCAAAGGGGAGCACAAAAAGTCCTAAAAGTACACAAACCCACCAACAACAATAACAAACAATCCTTTGTCTCTACAGCGTCAAGCCACTTGAATAAGAAACATTAATCGAGCATTCTGTGTCGACGTGAAGTAGAGAATGTTCGGGGTTTTGAGTGTAACTATCTTTAGTGGTCGTTGTAGAGAATTTCCATCAGAAGAAAATACAAATCAGGTTAAATCTCAAGCTTTAAAAAAGGTCATTTTAAATGATTTTCAACTCGCCCAGAGACGTAGAGACACAGAAGAGTATTTGCCGTCAAAACACTGCTCGCTCCATTATTTGCTAGGATAAATGGAGGAGAAGCAATTCAAAGTAATCGATCTTTCTCTCAACAAACAAAATTATCAACAATAACGTATAACACTTACTTGCAGATGAATTGTACGGAAGAAAATACTGTAAATTATTAAGCAATTCTTTAAAAAGTGCCCATCATATCCAAAAGGTACTAAAAGTAATTGTAACATATTTATCGAATCGCAAGGCCTTACGATTCGGCAATGTGAGCGTTCTGTAATAAAGAATATTCAATAGAGATTAAAGACGCAGTCAGTCAGTATTTTCTTTTTCCAAATCCCTGCAATTCTCTCAGTCTCAAGAGGTTTTCATGGAAGTTTTATTAGCTTTCTGTAATTCTTTAACTGCGCAGGTGTGTTTTCTTTTTTAAGTCTACTCTGTCATCTTTCCATCTAACACAGTAACTCTTTCAAGCATTAAATATTTTGCTATTTGCATTGGCAGTTCCACTTAAGACGATATTCACACTACGTGCCCCCGAAGATGCGTAAAGAATTCCTATGCTACCGAGTCAACAAAGGCAAATCTAAAATTTCAAACAAAAATGGACAATCATTTTTTAGGCCTAGCGTAAAACTGAATTATATTAATTTATTAAATAATGGTTCCTTCGCGTACTATTTGGTAATTAAGATGTTGTCCTACAATCGCCTTCTCACTATCTCTGTAGTGCCGGTTTTTACGCATGTCTTGTCAAGAAGGGGAATGGTGTAAAGGAGACGCATACACGCTCGGGACACGAGTTTAACCGTCTCCCAAAAGCTCCCTCAGGACACCCAGTTTAACTCGCCGGAATTTGCGCGCCGCCTGCCCTCAACACAGCGGCCGTCGTCCTGCTCCTCGCATGCCAGGCTCAGCCCTATTAAGCTAGAAGCCCCTGGTCAATCAGTGAATCTGTTCTGATCTATGTCATCAAATGGATGCACAGGGTACGTATATTGTTCAATGGCTATATAGCTCTAGAATATTCTCTGGATATGCCACTAAATTCTACTTTGCCTAAACGCGCCAAATTAGTGCCATCAACGGTGTGTTAAATAATATTCACTCATTCCCTGCGCTACAGTGTTGCCAACCCGAATTTTAGAAAATTAGTAGATTATGTGCCAAATGTTGGTAGAAGGTAAAATGCAAAATTGGTAGATCTACCACCTCAATTTAGAAGATTTTTTAAGATTAAAAATGCATTAACTGTTCTTAAAATGTTTATTTTTGGAAATTATACATATTTTTATTGAAAAATGTCAAATGTTCTGCGCTAGGTTGCCCGTGAATCTTTTAGTGCGCAACAATCCCTCTAGAGTCTCCGTGCAAATTCTATTTCTCTGGAAGGTTTTCATACTATTAATTGCAGAAAACAATCTCTCAACGTTGGCGCTACTATGTGGAAGTGAGAGTAATTTTCTCACGAATTAGCATAGCAGGAGAAACGTTGGAGACTGGTCTCCTTTTTTAATGGATGAAACTTACTTCCAGAATTCTTCAGGTGTAGGATCCACATTTTTTTCTGTGAAATGAAATGTCATGTTTCTTAATAATCTCCACTCTCGGTCATGTTTTCTGGGCAGAGTCCTAACAATAAATATGAAATGTAAATTAAAAAAATGAGTGGACAACATTAGTTATTAATTATGTTTAACTTGCCTGGAAACTGATCTCCTAAATGAACAATAGTTGTGACTGCATGTTTTTCAATATGTTTAGGATTCATAAATTTATGACATTTTAATCTTTGTTTTTGATTAAAACAAAAACGCTGCTTTATTTGTTTTACACTCTCCATATAAAAGAGATTGCATTTTTCTTTAAACTGTATTATTTCCTTTTCATTCATTCTAGCCACAAAGTCTTGTTTCAATAACAGGGAAATAACATAGCCACCAAGGTAGATTTCTTCAATTGCTAAATGGTTTTGTTTATTTTCATATTCTAAATTCAAAATTTTGTTCTCTAAATCCAAGTTAAGATCCTTGCTACTGTTTTTTCACCTTCAGTCAGCTGCAGTAATTCTGGTTTAATAAAACATTCCAAGATAGTTTTGTATGTTGTAAAAATCCGTTCATATAACAAATAAAGTTTAGGACTTTCTGATTGCATTTCTTTATTAATGTCATGGAAATAGGGCAACACATAATCTAAAAAATATAAGTATAGCTTTTTTGAGGGATCCATGGACTTCACATGGATTGTCTCAGCGGCAAGTAGCCTGTCATTCAAAACAGCATTTTGGAAGTATAACTTTAAAGCCGGAAGCTGTTCTAAAAGCCGTTTGACCACAGGAAGTAGAGACAGCCATCTTGTTTGAGCTGGGTGTAGAAGTTTGTGGGGTTTTATATCCAGAAAGGACTGGAATTCTTTATAGTCACTCAGACGTTTTGGGATATTTTGGATATAATTGCATACATCTCTTGCAAAATCCCCTACACCACTTGGAAGAGTTTTGCAGGCATAAGGAGCACACAAATGAAACGAGTGGCAAATGCACTTCATTATGAATAAATGTGGAATTCCATTTGCAAACAGAGTGGACAATGAATGGTGTGAACCAAACATAGTATTTGCACCATCAGCTGCAAACCTAATCATGTTCTGTTTGTAAGGAATATTTTCATTATCAAAATATTCTTTGCATTAATTATGTAATGCTGAGGTAGTGCCCTCTACAACTGGTATTAAACATAAAAAATTATCTTTCACATTGAAATCTACTGCTGTTCTGGCAATGAGCGCTAAGTGTTTTGTTGTTGATTTGTCTGTGCTTGCATCAACAATCAAAGAAAATTTTTCAGTTTGTAAAGTCTTAACTAATTCGCTGTGAGATAATTTTCCTATTACATTTGTAACAATGGTTTGTGCCTTAGTTTTTTCGAATGTAATTTCTTTGGCTATTTCAGAATCCGAGCAAACATTTTGAATATGTTTCTTTAGGTCACCTGAAAAATAATATTATTTGAATACCTAAAATTTCTTAATTAAAATGAATTTGTTGTGAATGAAATACAACAAAACATAGCCTACATTTATTAAATAATGAATTTGTAGTCCAAGCCGCACGCATACTAACCAGCAATGTTAAAAGGTAGATTATTTTTTGCCAAAAAACAAGCCATTCTTATTTCTCCAAATTCGATTTTATCCTCAAATGACTTTTTTGAATGAGTTTGCCCAAACTGGGTGATTAATAGTTGACTTGTTATACCTGAAAACAAGTAGTTAACTTTTTATAAGATTGGTTTTTAATATATTTAAAAAATAGATAAAACGAAATTGCGTATAATTAGCGGATTTAAAATATGTACATGTACAATCATAGGCAAGCAATGACAAATTAATTGATTGTTAGTAATTTCGTTTGTAAAATTTTAAATAATTATTCAATATTAATTAAACTAAACTGAGCATAAAGTTACAGAATAGAAGTTCAGGTTCAACTTTCACACGTGCTATATGCTTTAAACTATTTGCATGTTTATTTAGAATAAATCTTCCACCAGCACACTTAAGATCACACCTACATGATTTGCAATAAAAATATCCTTCACCCTTGGTACTTTCATGAAGCCAACCTGCAAATTCCTTATCTTTCTGCCATAATTTCGAATATTTTTGGTCATAGTGCCTTTTTCGAGCTTTTCATGGCGGAGTTCCTAACCTAGAACTCTGTGTATCGCTTTCGCTGCTGTCAGAATCCATTATAAATAAATGCACGCAACACAGAACAAACAGCAAACAGCACCATTAATACGTAGTTGTTTAGTTTCAACAACAAAACAACACAAAACAAGAGCAAAGATTCACCATTTATTTCGCAACAAACGGCGAACTGTTGTAAGGTTTTTATTTTTTTGTTCCCCCCTGGGGGGCTATTTCCGAAATTCTTAAGTTTCGCTTAAATTAATTTTTCTTAAGTTTGAAAACCGGCTACACCGAATTGCATGCCTTATAAACTGTAGAATAGAAATTGCGAGTTCAGTTTGAGTAGTGCAATGCGGTGTTGTCGATTTTCAAACTTAAGAAAAATAAATTTAAGTGAAACTTAAGAATTTCGGGAATAGCTCCCTGGAATCTATGTATGCTTGACGTGTCGACGCATGGCTCACGCAACGTTGCTCGTCGTTATAAAAATAATTCAAAGTGATGATATATGTCAATCTAATTTAAAAAATAGGTAGTTTTTAGGTTTAGGGTGGTAGATAGGTAGACTGAAGTGAAAATTGGTAGATCTACCAAAAAGTTGGTAGACATGACATCACTGCTGCGCTATATCAGTGTTGCTAACTCAAAACACATAATTTGCGAAGTTGACTACAGTCCTGTCAATGTTTTTCTTGTTATTTCATCACGTCCCGCATCACGCCTGGATAATGCGTATGTGCTATGTTGAATAGGTTAATGTCGGTCGCTCGAAAGAATCATTTTATTTAAAAATTGATGTTGCATCATAATAAATGAAACTGAAATAAGTAATGATTGAGTAGTTTTGTGTCTATATTCTTTCATTTCTCTAACATTTTCTTGGAGGTATAGTGTTTTCACCATGCTTTGCGTGTGCAAACCGGCGAAAATATGAAGAAAAGTGTAGTGTTTGGTGTTTTTTCGAAATCACCGAAGTTTGGACGTGGAATGATAAATTCATATTGTGTCCAGAGTGTGAAAACTAAAAACAGTGTGCTGTTTGCTCGTAATTTGTTGCAGATACATAATCAGCATAAGAATCCTTTTACTTTAGTAAAACAGTTTAAGTGTTCCAGCAGTTCTGATCGTAATGACGAAAGTGATAGTGACGTGGAATATGTTAAAGATCTTGATATTGATTCTATAAGTGAATCTGACTCTGAAAATAGGAAATTCCTGTACCCAGACACCCAAGATCCGATCATTCTCAAGCTTTGTGAATGTGCTTCAGTTCAAGCTGTTTTTGATGTTGTCTCAGAACATGAAAATGAATTCAATGGTCACCATGCCTGTCAAGCATTATTAGTGTTGTGGGATCTTTACAAAATATATTACAGAATTAATAAAGAAACACAATTTGAGCCAGATTCTATAAAAGTCTCTAGCGAAGAACTTATAAACAAATTTGCTGAAAATGTTGTATTACATCCAAATTTTGGAAAAATAGTTTGTTGTTTAGATGTTTCAATGAAAGAGCTTTCACCAACTGCACTTTCTTGTAGTTTTTTATACTTAAAAAGATTAGGAATACCGTGTCATAGCTCAGTAATGCAAAAATTATTGGTGCGTATTGAAGAACTATTGGAGATTATGGGAAGTGACTTCTCGTTAGTTGCTTTATCTAGGTTTACTGTTGCAATAAAGGCACCTAATAAATTAAATTTTTTATCTTCTGCACAAAAAGTGTTACCACTCATCCATGCAAAGATTGGTGAGTGGTTATTTTGAAGTTTTTATAGGAATGTCACATGGTATAATGGTAATTCTGACTTGTTATGATTAATTTTTCAGATAGTTGTGAGAGTGAAATGGATATTGACTTACTTTCTTCAAGTTTACTAAATATCAGATGGTTTGTTAGTTCCACAATTTACAATGCATACAAACATCAGGTTGCGAAATTGATTGAAAGTGGCATGTTTTCTTCCTACCAACCTACTGTTATTGTTAAGACTGCAGTTCTTTTGAGTTGCTCACTGTGGGGAAATGAAGCTAGTGATGTGAGCAAAAAATTATTAACATTGTTGAAAGGAAGAATTTCACAACTTGAAGTACCTGATGTAACACGAGTTCATAAGGTTTGTATAAAATTTGTTTTTTCAACATACCTTCAAATTAAATTCCATTTTCAGAATGAACAATGTTTTGTTTTAGATTATTGAATCTCTCCGTGAACCTGCAGATTTGCATGCTGAACTTTCTGAGTATGCTTCTCGTCTCCTTTCAGAAGATGGATTTACGACTATTGATTCTGAATCAGCTGAGTTACTTACGTGTGTAACATCATTCACATGTTCTCCCAACGAAAGGAAAATGTTTGAAAACATACTAGAAAATTATTTAAAGAAAAAATTAAATCCTCGTATATTAACATACCTGTTTAAAATACTTCGAAACATAAAATGTTCTAATGTCGAACTTTGTGATAAATTTTGGTTTAGTACATTACGAGTCATGGAAGCAAACCCAGAAGAATATTCACATACTAATATTTTGAAGTATTCGTTGAGGTAGGAATCAAGTCAGTATCATTTTTTCTACAAGATTTGTAGTTAGGATTGCTGTAAAACTTACTTTTATTCTCACCTCATTACTGTCTCTGCTTTCAGATATATGTACTTCAATAACAATTTAGGTGGCACATATCGTCATTATGAATTTGAGAATAAGTTGACTGAATGGTACCTCAATCTTTACGAGAAAAGTATAATTGGCTTCATCCCTTCGAAATTTGCTGTAATGATTGCATTTCTAGTAGCTTATGGTGATAAACAACAGAAGGATTTCCTTGAAAAACTTCACGATATGATTACAAGACTTGGTGAAATGTCATCACAGTTATGGGAACTTGACTGTGTAAACATATCTCGAGGAATTCAGATAGCTTCCCAATTGAACACAAGGAGCAATGAAAAGCCACAAATGTATGATATGTATGTGAAGTTGAATTCAATTCTCAATGAATGCATCAGAAGGCACATTGACAAAAATGACAAGAGTGTATCAACCACAAACACATTGATGCGTTCATATGTTATGAGAAAAGCTCCACAAACAACTGACATTTCACAATGCCTTGTAAATAGGTATGAATTACAATTTTTACTATTTTGATTCAAAAATACCTGTTTCTGAAATTTTAATATTTTCCACTTTCTTTTCCATTGCAGGTATGAAAATATTAATGAACCCATTAACTCAAGAATGTTACAGGACATAGCACGGAATTTGTTGGTTTCAAAATGTTTAATACCTACTACAATCAATTATTTAACTGAATATGTTGTACAAAATAAAGCAAATTTATTTGGTGAAACTGTAGAATTAATTCTGTTCTTATGTTATGAACTTGGGTATACTCCTGCAAATCTAGACTCATTTTTGACAACCTCTTCTGAAATAATTTTTAGGTAAATGTAGCATTTTCCTCTTTCAAATTCTAATTTTAGTCATCAAAATTTTACTTCTCAAAGTATATTTTCGTTAACCTTAAAAGGTAAGACTCCTTGTCTCAGTATAATTCCTCGTTCCTTAATTGTATGTAAATGTTGGTAATATTTTAGTAATATGCTACTACTAATATCAGCATGAGCAAGAAAAAAGGGAATTATATTCGTTTTAACAATGATATTTAATGAATAGTTACCGTTTGTACTATGTAATTGTAAACAACCAATATATATAGCTTTATCAAGTATTGTACTTTTGCTTCTGGGGCATCACATTCAAGATTGTTGTCCAGTTTCCCTTGATTCATTGAGGAAATGTTGAGGTGGCTCCTTGGTGTGTTCGTGCACATGAATGTGACTTCAGTATCTGTGTAGGTTTTTCTGAGCTCTATGAGGTGTTAGTGGGGAATATTGTTATTCAAATAATTACCATCCAAGTTGTCATGGCAGTAAGTTAATTCTTTCATGGGCAGCACAATAAAGGTAAAGAGCCAAAATCTACTGTTCATTTGCTATTGCAAATAGTTTGTTTTACAAGGGAATGAATATTTTCGTACAATAAAATCTTGCTAGAAATGATTGTATTCATAATGTTAATTTAAAATGTTACAAGAGCTAGAGAAGGCATTCCAGAGTTCAAGAGTATATGCACAGAGTGTACCTCTTCTCCATAGTATATCGCAAACAGTTTTTTTTAATTTTTCTTTTAAATATTAAATAAATAACATAAGAAATATGAGATTAAACAATTAATTTTAATTATGAAATGATACCGAGTAGAAATTGCAGTTAATTTAAAATGTTTTTTTAGGTTCCCCTTAAAAATCTGAACATTTTATATGTATTATTATATAAGTTATCAATTTCAAATTTATTTGCTTAACTTGTTTGTTTTATTATGAAATTATAGAGAAAGCAATCGTATGTCAGGACTTGCTATATTACAAGCGAGCTTGACACTGTGTTTCTTTCGTTTCCTCCCTGAAGAATTTGTTCATCTTATATTTACTTTTACGTTTCTGGAGAGATTGGATGCGGAAATTGCAGACTGTTATGCTAAGGTAATCATATTCAACATGCTATTAATAAACTATCCAGTAATAATCAACGTGTTCACTTAATTTATTTTTCCTGAGGCAGAAGATAGGGTTATTGTGAATTATTAAACATTATTTCAGTACACTGGTAGTATAACGCACGGTAATAATGTTTTAGTTGTTATTCTTGTTATTAAATTTTTCTGTAATATGTTAATGTGTATTTTGGAACTTTTTTAGGCCATCTACCCCAGTCGTGTTCGCAACTATTTAATGCAAGTGAACCGAGCTGTGTGTTTAGATTACCCTGAATTTGATGTGCCATGGTTCCACAAAAAATATTGTGAAGAGGTAGCAGCTACAGGTAGTTTTAATTCCTTTAGATTATTTTATCCTATCTTCCTTAACATTATTTTATAGTTTTTTCGTGTATCCTAATAATTTTTCTTTTCATGAGAAGAGGATGCTCCAGCCTCTTTGTTTCACAATGAAGTTCGAGAAGTACTTGTGAAAGTTCTGGGAGACAACAAATTTATAACACAACAAAGTTATAGTCCTTATGGCTACAGACTTGGTATATAAATACATTTTTTCTGAAATAAAAGCCTTTAATAATTTTTTATCCAACAGTAAATTGTAAAAGTTAATGTTTATTTTCAGATTTTGAAATTTTCTTCAATAAAAGCCATATTCCTGTCACATGGAAACAACGATATGATAAAAATATTTTCAGGTAAAGTATATTCTTAACTATTCTAGATTTATTGGCCATGTGGCATTTAAAGAAATCTTACTAATAATTTTGGTAGCCAAATTATTGATTAAGGGCCGATCTACGTTATTGACTGAGGAACATTCACAGTAAAATAAAATTAAAAATAATAAAATCAATAGAACTTCTCTTATATTCAGTATTCATAACAAATAGTTTTATTAATTGAATTTCTGAAATTATATAAATTAGAAAATGTATTTTTTTGCTGTAAGTATTTTTATTCAATGAGATAGTGAAATGAGTTCCACCTTTCTAACAGTTAGCTTAATCTTCTCTAGTTCAGAATAGATTTTTCAACATGCAGGCTGATGTAATACATTTTTTTGATGATTTTGACTAGACATTTTACAACTCGGCTTGAAAAAGTTAGTGACATGTTTGAGACCCTGGTAATTCCTCGTTGAGCAAGAACATTATGTTCAATGTAAATATAAAGTTTTGTAAATCTGTCATTAGACTTTATGCTTCTTTCAAAAACTTATCATTTTGACTTCATTCAGGAGAAGTGTGATATTCATCATCATGAACATATAAGGCTGAGGCTTGTGAGCCTGTTCCTTTTATTTTTCCAGTATTCCCTTAGTTGCGTCCAAAGTGTTCCGAAACTTTTTAATATTTTCTTAGACTGCCTGGGTCTCTTCTATCTCTTGGCTATTGAGTGCCATTCTTGGGAAAGATTCTGTCTTCTTTCTGTATGTTCTTGCCATTTATTTTGGTATTTATCAATTTTGAACACTATACAAGGATCATTCAATAAATAACTTGGTTTGATATGAAAGACTACAATCCGAGTTTTGTAACTTGCTTTATTATTCAATGTAATTCCCTTTAAGTTCAACACACTTGGTTCAACATTTCCCCAGGGTCAAGATTCCGTCTCTAAAGTGATTTTCTTCAAGTCCCTTGAAAAAGCCATTGACCGTCAGAATGACTTCTTCATTGTTTACAAGTTTTTGTCCAGCAAGGAAAGTTTTCAATTTTTAGAATAAATGAAAGTCTAAGAGGGGTGGGGCTTTTTTTCTTCTTTTTTTCTTTTTCCTGTTTTTTTCTTTTCTTTTTTTTTTTCTTTTTTTTTCTTTTCTTTCCTCCTTCTTTTGGGAGTGATGCTGAACCCAAATTTATTCTTGGTAACAAAACAATGCAAAAAATCCAATCATCTGGATTTTTCTTTAGTAGCTGCAAATAATCCGCAAATGTTCACATGCGATTTCATCTGTGCAGTCAGCAATCGTGGAACCCATCTGACGCAAAGCTTCTTCCTCAATTCATGATACAAAATGGTCATTTGAGATACTTGTGGCCTCTGCTAACTCGTGCACTTTCACTCACCTGTCTGCCAAAACAATATTATGCATTCTGTCGATATTTTCTGGTGTAACAGCTGTTTGTGGAGCCCCAAGTCATGGTGTGACTTCAATGCATGACCTGCCTCGCTTAAATTCATAGACCTAAAATCTCCCTGTCTCGTAGGAAGAACATGAGTCACCCAATGTAGGTGTTATCCTTTCATGGATTTCTTTTCTGTTTACCGTCCTAAAAAATAATTTGATAACACCACAAATTCTAATTCTATCCATCTTTCACTCTGGATCACAAATGCTTGTGATCAAGTTGCTAACAATGAAATTGATGTGATAATGACTTATAACAATGAATTTTACTCTACATTGTTGAAGCTTTAAAATTCAAATACATAGATGTGTACATCTGTAATTTTTGCAGTGGTTTCTTGGGTCTCGTGTGTGAATGTCTATTACCAATTCTGTTTTCCATTTGTTGGAATTGTCAGTTCCACTCAATTTCTTTCTTATTTCCAATAGTTCTTCCTCTATATTGCAATAGTTCTGTGTTTGTATTATTTGGGCCTGATCATTTCCTCTTTCTGGCTGCTTTGAAGGTAGCTGCTGCTTGCTAGTTTTCCCACACACATCCATTTGAATTTTGTTCGTGTTTTTAGATCTTTTGGCTCTTTGTCGGTTCTTATTATGATCTGGTCTCTTATTCTCTGTATTCTTCAAATATTGTTCCTAATTTCACTTGCTTAAGCTTGATCTGATTTTTGTGTTTGATATTTTTCATTATTGTAATGCATTTCATGTGAACACTTCTGTGGTGTTACGGAGAGATTACTGTAAGAAGGGACCTCTCTAATAGCTACTGTTTGGCCATTGCTGGCAATATAACTCCAAGTTACATCCATGTACTCATTTTGCCAGTGTGTTCATTCACAGTAAGCTCATTTGTAAATGGCTTCATCACTATTTCTTGCAATGTCATAGCCCTGTTGATTTGTTCCCTGGCGTGTCAGAGTGGTCCCTTCTTACTTAGAGTAATAATTCCTCTACACATCAACAATGATACACATTGGGGGCTCCTGTGCCCTGGCTGTTTTCCACTGTTCATTCCCCCATTCTGATTCTCTGTTCTGCATTTCTGGTGTTAATTACCTACAGTCATGTAGACAGAATAGCCCAATGAAATGTTAAAAAAAAAATTTACATAAAAACATTTCATAACAAAACAAATAACAAAAATATGCATAATATTTAAACAATATTTAGTAATCATATCATTGTCCACAAATCACATCATTGTAAACTCGACTCTTATAATTTCAGAAATTAAGAGTTGTGTATTAAACTCGCTGATTGAATGACATTCCATTTTTATTGAAATTTTACAACTCTGTTATAGGAAGGCAGTCCTACTTCATGCTGATGAAGCATTTTCACATAATGTGTGCTCGTTAAATGGATATGCACAAATGAAGAAACGTCATTTAGAAATGTTAGGGTATGAAGTTATAGAGATTGTGCAGTCAGTATGGAATTCCATGTATATGTCAGAACCAGGAATGAAATATAATTTTATTAATGAAAAAGTTTTCAAGAGTGATAAGGAAGCTGTACTTAGACTTAATTAAACTTGAGTGACTGAAAACTAGTCTTTGAAGAATGCCTTGTATTTTGTAGTGTATAGGTTATGTTAGAGAAATATAATTAAGTTGATTTTTGAAAGAAATTGAAAATAAAAGATGTAAACAAGGTTATGTTTTTATTTTCCCCTTATGTATCAAGTATATGTTTGGATTCACTTAGTAGTATTGTAAAACTAATTAATTCTGTGTTGCGGGGCTGCAGAATATTTTAAGATTAACTAATTGACACAAAATCATTAGTTCAGGTTAGTAAAAGATTTTGTTCTGTACAGTAATCAATGAAATCGCTTAATCATGTGCCTGATTTTGGAAAATGAGAGGTTGAGCTTTTGTTTCTGTCAACCATTGAGTTTAACTTTTTTTTGAGAAAATCATGTTTTTAAATTGCCCATATTTCACTCAAAAGTTGCCCCAAAAAATAGTTATATTTTCAAGAAAAAGACTTGACTTTAATTAAAGATCTAATTTAAATTGAAGAATAGATTTCATTGCGAAAAAAAATCTCAATTTTCAATAAAGTAATTGCGTAAGGGGTGTCCAAAAAATTTGCAACTTTTTCAGTTTTTGAAAATTCAAGAGGTATCAAGGAAAATTATTCTATCTTTATAATTGTATTTCATTTTATTGCAATTAATACTTTGACAAGTTCAGAGCAATTTTTAAAAAGCTTCATTGGCTTCATGTAAAGTATCCCAAAAATAAAATTTGTTTCAAAACTTCTCAAGTCTGGGAGACACACTATTTTTAAGAAAATCTGGTGTAGGCACTAGTTTTCACAGAAGAACAGACTGATGATTTGCTGAAAACCAATTTTTCAAAACCTCAAAATGGGTATTCTGATTGCACCAAGGACTAGAAAAAGTAATTTGTTACTTTTAGAAGCATGAAACACCCTCTTTTACGCTACAAGTGACCGATCAAATGAGTTTTCTGATGGAAAACAGCACTTCTCACTGCAGCATCATAAAAGTTAATTCTATGTTTACAATTCTGTATATACATACGAATACAAGAAAGTGAAACTGGGGAAAGTTGTCCCTGATTTCTTGACTGGAGGTCATCAAGCCACTCTAGAAGTGATTGTGAGTAGGCATTAATAACAAAATATTTACTTATTAAAAACTATTACCTATTCTAAAAGTTATATATTTTTTTGTCTATAATTGTTGGCAGAAGATCTGCTTATTCGCATAATGCAAATTGAAATAATATCAAAACCACTTTTCAACTCTGAGGAAATTATAATTTTCCCTCTTACTCCTACCCTTGGATACACGCACCAGGTCTTGAAAATATATCACCCTTCACCATATCCCCAAATTATATTCATAACATCATAATCCCCTAGTACAAACCCACCGTCTCACATTATTTTATACCACTCTGTGGTTCCCATCGAGTTTGAACCCACAAACTTAGGTATAACAATTCATACACTAAGCGTTACACCACTGAAGCCACTTAGTGGCGGCGCTATTTAGTTTGCTAGTATGCGCTTAGTAGTGGCATATTTGAGTGCTACATTTGTCTCGTGATTTTTGCTTGGTCTAAAAAAACGCGCAAAAACACGCAAAAAATTGAAAATGGGCCTACAAGGTCAGTCATTGTCATTTCAGTATCCCACACTGTCATTTGAATGGATGTTACGAGTATTTCGTGGTGTGACAAGCAAAGATGAGCCGCTACGACTGCCCACGCATCGAGACTCTTGCACACACTTGTAAGAAGCAGGCTGTCGCGCGATCGGCAGTGGGTATTCAACGCCCAGGTACTGACCTGGAGTTACGTTTTCATTATCACGCCCCCAAGAGTGGGGTAGGAGCTACTAAGAATGACGGAAATGTAATTTTAACATGTGCATTTAATGCAGAGGCGGAAATATTAACGTAAGAAAGAAGTAAAATAATTACAATGGAATAATTAAAAACAATAACAACAACAACAAAGCATACAGCAAAATGGCGTTAATATACAGTACATCTAACACTATCCCTACCAAAAAGTTTAAAGAAAAATTTGGAGTTTTTTTTCAGAAAATCTTGTTTAGGATATTTTTTAATATTGCACGTACATCACTCAATATTGCGCGACAACTAAAAAATTTCAAACAATCATGTGTAATAGACTTAAATGAAAGAAATTTCATTCGAAGAGAAAATCGCTATCTTCAATTTTGTAGTTGTAGGAAGACGCCAAAAAAACTTCGTACTTTTGCTATTTTCGCAAGTTAAGAGTAAGTAGTAAAAATCCGACCTACGACATCTTTATATGTGAATTGCAGCAAACGAAATGGTTCGATGTCACATTTTGCTGGTTGTGAGTTAACAGCGGAAACTGTTCTTAAAATATAAATTCAATTTTCAATGCATACAATTTCGTTGTCTATGACGTCTGTACGAGAGTGTCCTTTAGCTGTTAATGTTAAGAAAAAATGTTCCAGATCCGGAACTTAAAACCTTTTTGCTTGCTCTTCAAAATTTGAAGCTCCTGGACATCGAACGTTTTGTTTTCTCCGATTCACTCTATTCTTACAAGATATTTAAAGAAAAAAATTGGAGCCAATTTTGAGAAAATTTTGAAAATGTTCCAGGGGTTCATGTAAAGTACCCCCCTCCCCCCAAAAAATTAAAGAATGTTCAAACTTGCAGAGCTCTGAGTGAGGACAGATCGACCAGGGAAAATTCAGTTAGGAAAAAATCCTACTCATAGTTTAGATGTCAGTGTTGTTCTCAGACTACAGACGGACGGATGTAACTAAACAAAATAACACTTTTTCGATATCAAGGGACCACAAATGTGTATTTTCGTTAAGAAATCTCAAAATCGATTTTCCGCAGCTTATATCTTTCTCTATACGACGTATGAATACGAGAAAGTAAATACATAACTTTCTCTGCACTGCGTAAGCAGAAAGTAGAAGGTATTCAATTTTTGGAAACGATGTTAAATTGTCTGAGCTATGGTGCACTATTCGCTACGCTGCCACGGTGCGTCGCCAAGCATTGCTCTCACGAGAAGTACTAGAAGGTGGGCTCTTCTTACAAAATTATGTTTCGTTATAAATTCAGTTTTTATACCTTTCAACTTATTAGTAATTATTTTTTAATACAAATATTAATATAATACAAACGCGATTACCAATTTACATTAATTGTTATTTTAAAGGAACGTGAAAATGCAGCGAGTCTTACAGTGCTGCTCCTTCCCCCAAGTGACGTCCGAACACAAACACGCGCGTACAAGCGCCTTATCTGGGCAGGCCGTTTCACCGAAACGCAGTGGCTGGTGGGAGGTCGCGTGGGTGGCGGAGACTTCGGCGCTCAAACCGCGTCCCTCACGGCGCACGCACCGCTCCGCCACAGCGGCAGATAAACTTTACGTGCGGCTTACGACCGCGCACATTGGGGCAAGATATCAAAAGCTGGCCAAAATATAAAAACGTTAACCAAATTAAATGA